TCTTTCGACGGAGGCAGCCAGGCACCCCTAAGTTAAATTCATTTTTGAAGTTACTCCAGAAGATACGACTAATTACACTTAATTTTTTTCATACTGAATCATGCAATCAGAGAATGTAAGAGCTGGTGTGGGCTGCCTGCAGATACAAACCAGTGCAGGGATTCCCAAGTGCCAGGCTGTGGGCCAGTGCCTGTCCACACCAAGGTTTCCTCTGTCCAAGGTAAAATGAGAAAAATGCGGGGGGGTGTCCTCATGAGGAGCCAAAGATCTGTTCTTAGGAAGTTCTGCTTTTTACTCTAAGATACCTCAAATCTGATTCTTGTAGTATTTAAAATGTCTTTTATAAAAATAATAGTGTGCTAGCACATGCCGACTGTTGTATACTTTCTTTCATGTTCTTACTTGGCAAAATAGAAGTTGGGAACCTTGGGGGGTGCCTGCGTGGCTCAGTCGGCTAAGCGTCCGACTTTGGCTCAGGTCATGATCTCACAGTTCGTGGGTTCGAGCTGATCTCACAGTTTGTGGGTTCGAGCCCCGCGTCTGAGCTCTGAGTTGTCAGCACAGAGCCCGGAGCCTGTTTCAGATTCTGTGTCCCTCTCTCGCTCTGCTCATTCTCTGCCACTCTCTCAAGGATAAATAAACGTTAAAAAATTAAAAAAAAAAAAAAAGAAGAAGTTGGGAAACTTGGATCACTACCAGGGATTTGCACTCCCACTTTATAAGAAAAACAAGCCTGATGAGAATCCAGAACAGGAAGAATTGTGATGAATGGAACATTCTGCTTAGAAGTATCCAAAACATAACCCAATTAAGGCCCAAGTAGTTTCTATGGTTATACACCAACCAGTTAATCACATCAACTTGGGGCGGGGGCTAAGAATAGGACCAGACAATGTGTGGGTTTGGGTTTTTTTTTATATGTTTATTTTATTTTTGAGAACGTGCAAGCGAGAGAGAGTGAGAGAGAATCTGAAGCAGCTCCGGGCTCTGAGCTGTCAGCACAGAATCCATGAACTGTGAGATCACAACCTGAGTCCAAGTAGGATGTTAAACAGACTGAGCCACCCAGGTGTCCCAGGATCAGGCGACTTGTGTAAGGAGAAATAGAAATAACTGATGTGAAAATGAAAAAGAATCCTAATAGAACATTAGGAAATATCCATTTTTCTGAAGTGAGCTTTCATTTTTCACTCATCCCACAGCATTTAAAGAGGAACGATTCCCCCTGGTGGCAAGGGAATGTGCAAATAAGCAAAACGCTGCAAACATTAAATTACACTGGCTCAGGTTTTCTGGAGAGCATCTGGCCATTGGCAACAAAAATCCCCAAAAGCACATGGTCAGAAGCCGGGGTTCCAGGGTGACCCGGCCCAGGTCCGATCCCCGGTGTGCCCTTGCTAGCAACAGGACTTAAAGTTCTGTGCAGACCTGCTCTACAACATACTCTTTGCACAATGACTGTAATAGTTTAACCGCCTCCCTGACTGCTGTGAGGCTCGACCAGTGAATATTCATGAGCACCTTGGACCAGTGCCTGGCATATCACACAGCGTTCATTATTATGTTGGTCCAGCAACCTCACTTCGAAGTACTTATCCTAAGGAAATCTTAATTAAGTGCACAAGATGTATATACACATTTGTTTATCATTTCATGATTTATCGAAGGCCAAAAGTGGAAATGATTGGTTAAATAAATTTTTGCCATCCTTACCTTGTAATACTATGTTACCAGTATTATAATTATGTTGATACGTATGTACTGATGTGAGGACACTTATAATCTATTTTTGAGAAGGAAAAGCAAGCCAAAGAAGAATAAATACAGTGGAATCCTAGGAAGGAGACATATGTATTTTTTTAATCAGTGCATGTATATCTAGATGTCAACGGTGGCTGCCCCTGGATTTGGGCGTTATTCAAATTTATTTTTCTTGTTTGATTATCTGTGTCTTCCAATTTTTCTAGATCAATCCTATTTGTATAATTTTAAAATAAGTCAATATGTTACATATCTTGATGGTTAAAGTCAGTCAATGTGACTGAGCTAAGGGATGCTCGAATAGCTGATGAAATATTCTTTCTGGGTGTGTCTCTCAGGATGTTTCCAGAAGGACATTAGCATTTCAATCAGTAGACTGGGTGAAGAACAGCCAACCTCACCAATATGGGTGGCCATCATCCAATCCACTGAGGGCCCAAAGAGAACAAAAAGGCAGAGGAAGGATGAGTTAGCTTTCTCTTCTTGAGCTGGAACATCTATATCCTCCCCCTGGACATCGGAGCTTCTGGTTTGGGGGCCTTTGGACTCAGGACTGACACCAGCAGCTTTCCTTGTTCTCCAGCCTGAGCTGGCAGGCCATGGGAGTCCTCGAGCTCCATAACTATGGGAGTCCATTCCTGTCATAAAGCCCCTTTTTGTTTTTTCTTAATATTTATTTTTGAGAGAGAGAGACAGAGGATGAATGGGAGAGGGGCAGAGAGAGAGGGAGACACAGAATCTGAAGCAGACTCCAGGCTCTGAGCTGTCAGCACAGAACTTGATGTGGGGCTCAAAGCCACTAACTGTGAGATCATGACCTGAGCCTAAGTCAGATGCTCAACCGACTGAGCCACCCAGGCGTCCCTTAGAGCCCCTTTTTGTATCTGTATCTATTCTTATATCCTACTGCTTCTGTTTCTCTGGAGAACACTGGTTAGTACACATATGTTCCAAAGTTCTTATAAATCTTGCCAAACATTCTAAAGCATATCTGAAAGGGGGGAGAAATAAACAGCATAGAAATACAAAATCAGTATTCTACCCTTCAGAGTAGATAGAAAAACACATTTGGAAGCATAGAACTTAATAGTGAACATTCAAGAACAGAGTCATTCCCATGGGTAATTATCACTAGTGCATGCAAACACATATGCACATACATCTATTTCACTTGGCCTTGCCCCTGAAAGCAGAGCCTGAGGCAAGGACTTGGGAGCAGGGTAATTTATTTCAGAGGTGCTCCGAAGAAGCAGGCGTGGGAGAGTGAAAAATATCAGACAGTAGGGAGAAAGGCCAATAAAAGGTGCACTAGTAAGTAGTAACCGCTACAAGCAACTGGGATTCACTCCCATCAGGGACTCTCTGAGAAACTGAGATAAACCTTGGAACTGTCCCACCACTGCACGGGAAGGCTGGGGCAATCACTCAACAACTCCCCTCCCACCTTGGCTGCGAGCTGCCCCGGTCGTGTCAGCTCTCCTGCACTTCGGGGTTGCACCTGCAAAGACTGTGCAGCCTTCCACCGTATCAGAGACAAACCTGAGGCCAAAAAGCGGAGACCTCAAGGTGCATGTGTGATGTGGGGGCTGGCATCAGATATATGTCAGCGCTGCAGGAGACCAGGAGGTGGCGGGGGAGGGGGGAGGACCAGGAGGTGGCGGAGGAGACCAGGAAGTGATGGGGGGGGAGACGAGGAGGTGTTGGTGGTGGGGAGACCAGGAGGTGATGGGGGGAGACCAGGGGGTAGTGGGGGGAGATGAGGAGGTGGGGGGTAGACCAGGAGGTGGGGGGGAGATGAGGTGGTGGTAGTGGGAAAACCAGGAGGGGGAGGGGGAGACCAGGAGGTGGGGGGGGACCAGGAGGTGGGGGGAGATGAGGAGGTGGTAGTGGGAAAACTAGGAGAGGGAGGGGGAGACCAGGAGGTGGGGGGATGAAGAGGTGGTGGTGGGAAAACCAGGAGGTGGTGAGGGGAGACCAGGAGGTGGTAAGGGGCACCATAATTTTTCATACGCCCCTTGCCCAAACCCAGTGAATAGGAAAACATGACTTTGTTGGGGGAATCCTGGGAGGGGGATGAACCCACTGCACTTCCCACCCACTGCCCTTTCCTCTCCTCATACACTCACCGGGAGCACTCACTGGGCTCATCCTCTGCACATGTCCTCAGCTGCTCAAAGGTGTGAGATACGCAAATGGAATTTACCCCCTAGCTGGCCAGGGCTGCACTGGCCCCAAGTCCCACATAAGGCCCTGCATAAGCTGTGCTCTGGTCTCCCCACCCCCAGCCCTCCCCGCCCCCAGGTGCCCTTTGCCCTCTGCAAAGTCTTTCCTCCCTCTCTTCCCTTGGTTCCTCCCACCAAAACATCAGGTCTGGCCAGGTGGCAGCGCCTCTACCGAGAGGCTAAAGGAAGCCTGGATGGAAGGCAGGGGAGGGCAAGAGACCCAAGGTGAGGGGAGAGACAGATGGAGCACAATACTGTGAGTTGAGTAGATAGCGGTCGAGGCTGGGTGCTGGGGACGTAGACCACTGGGGACGCTATTCCTGAAACCTGTAAGGATGGGGGACCCATCGCAGCTGCAGACTAGTAAGTGCAGCTGCAACTTTTTACCGTCTTTTGGTTGGCCTTTAAATTCCCCTGACCCTCCTCCTTCGGAGAGGGTGTTCAGGCTTGCCCTCCTGTCTCCCCGTGTGGCTGCCGCTCACTAAACCCTCCCCTCGCTGCATACTCGAAGCCTTGGTCATTGTCTTTGCTGCGCGGGCAGGTGAACTTGGGGTCCTCTACTGCCAAGGCACAGGGCTGGGTCTCCCTTTGGGCAAAAAACTGCTGTTCCACCACGAGCAGTGAAGCAGGCTGACAGGGTGCGGGCTCTAGGGCCTGGCAGTTTGTGCCCAGTGGGGACTTCCTGCTCGGCAGCTCCCATGGCATTGGCAGAGAGGTCAGCCCCATGGGGCCATCTGCCCCCCCACTCCTGCCTGCTCCTGCTTCCTGCTCTCTCTGCCCTCACGGTGGTGGGACCTGCGCTGCTCTCCGAGGGCTCTCCCTGCCCACCCTGCTTGCTCCCCCTTCAGCCCAGCAAACCTCTGGCTCTCCTAACTCCACCTTGACGTCAGCATCCCAATGGACCTGACCTGCCACAATGGGGGTGCAGGTGGCTTCGCCCCACTGTGCCCCGCCTGAAGCTCCAAAAATAATGAACGGAAGCGAGTTATAACTATTGTGCTATATTTAAATGTTTCCACATGATAAACTGATGCTTTTCGCATTAAAACAAAAAAATACAGTGGTCACATCCATAACTTCATTTTAGAAATAGTATCAAAACTCTAATGTGTGGTTCTTTGGGCATGATGCCCCAGCCAGGTGGCCCTCCCCCCCATCTCCCTCCCATCCATCAGCAAGCAGACTGACATCAGCTCTGGGAGTCTCCCAGATCACTCACGCCTGCACTGGGTGGCTCTCGCTATTTTCCATAACACCTAATCTCTGTCTCTAGACTACTACCCGGTACTTCTGCCCCACTCGCCTCTGCCAGCACCCCAACACGGTAGGGAGAGCCTGGAGGACCTGGCCCAGAGCAAGCACTCTGTACGTGACTTTGGATCAACCACTGAATGACTGCCTGAGGCATACGAATCCCCAAAAGGACACCATCTAAGACTCCTCTCCACAGCAATCCCACAGATTGACAACACGCCCTGAAGGTCAAGTGGCTCCTTCAGTCTGGAGTGAATATGGAGGTGGGAGGAGGTAAGAGCTCATTGTAAATAACCCTTTCTCGAACCACAGGAGCCGGGGGCACCCAGTCAGGCACCGCTGGAGCTCTCAAGCAGAACCCGTCCTCACAGGCAAGAGAGGAGAAATCATATCCACCTTCTGCTCTGCTTCTCTCCAGAGAAGACGTCTTGGTCTCGTGAAGACACGAGAGGCCCAGCAGCCTCTTGTGTTAGGGGAGGGCCCCTGAGCTGGCCCCAGCCAGGCTCTGGTGGGGGATCACCAGCCAGGGACCCTGGGCCGGCCAGGGCTCCAAGGGCTGCTGCCAAACTTCTCCGGCGGCTTCGAACGAGACAGGGGCTTCGGTTCTTCTCTCTGGCCCAGGTCCTGGGGGAGATCTTCCAAGGAAGAGATCTCCAAGTCACTCTCATCGTCTGAAAGCTGCAGGGAGGTAAGGGGGGAAAAGAAATGCATTCTGACAAGGGAGGATGAAAATGCTGGACAGACATGGGGACAAAATGCAGGTTTGGAAGAAGCAGTAGGGAGACACTTCTTCTGTTTTTTCATGTTTCCTGGTCTCTCAAAACCTGCTTCAGAGACCCGGGGTCAGAGTGATTTCAAACGCTCCTGAAATCCTGCTGGCCAAGCCACGGCAGGCTCCTTGGAAAGGCTTAAGGCAAATTGGGCTGCTCTTATCATTTAAATTTTGTCCAGATTTTTTAATTCCCCACATAGATGGAGCTGAACATCCAGAGCCTTGACTTTCCTGAATGTGGCAGGGGCTAAAGCCCCTCCCTACCCACCCGCCCTCAGGCGGCTTCTGTGGAGCTGGTAAATACCCTGACTGAAGGAGCAGGAGGATAGATCTCGGGGACCAGGAACCCTCAGCCTGGAAAGGGTCTGGGCTGCAGCCAATGGGAGAGCCCAGCAGGAGCCAAGGGCCCAGGCTACCCCTGGGCCAGCGTCACCCATCATAGCTCTCAGTGGCCCCCTGGCACTGAGGGTCACCTGGGTTTTGATAGGAACATCCTATGCACTTTCTCCCAGAATGTAAGGCCAAGTAGTCAGAACCACCCGGGCCCAGGGCAGCAGGCTCAACCTGCTTTGGGGTATTGACACTCTTTCCCAACAGGGGAAAAGGGACAAATTTATTTTAATCATGTGGACTTGCTACGCACCAACACACATGGGCTACATGATAAACCAAACACATCATGTGATGAGAATATGCTCCCCTAACGACCAAAAAAGGAATCACCCACTACTTCTGAACATTAGGGCAATAGTTCCGGTCATCCCAGGAGGCACCTTTTTGACTGAGAAAGGTGAGCCAGGAATGTGAAGTAAGGAGAGCTTGAAATGTTCTGCCTGAGAAAGCAACTGGCATGTGGGAGTCATTCCCTGACCAGAGGCACAGAGGAGGGCATCCTAATGGTAATGGTCAGGGAGACCGAGCCTCTGAGCTCTAAGTCTTATGGCAGCTAGAGCCTCAGAGAGTCAAGGCCACCAAGACATGCTTAGTGAGGAGGAATGGCCTTGAACATTTAGAATGCAAGTATCTAAATATCCCCATTGTTTTTTGTCGCCCACCCGATGTGCTGTGTGATGCCAGTCCAACACCCCGCCCTCGCCGAGAAGTCTGCTCTGCACTCAGCCTGGTGTTGGGGTCCTCGGCTGAGTGAAGGAAATGGGGAAGCCCATGGTGGAATGAACCAGAGCCAGGAGAGAGCAGCTACTGCCAGCACAGACCCAGGTCCAGGCTCCGTCAGAGGCAGGAAATGGGACCGTGAGTTACCAGGAGAAACGACCTATATATACAAGCAGTTACTTGCATAATGGACCAAAAGGCTTTTTAATGTCAACAGGGATACAAACAAAAAGCATTTGAAAATGGCCACCCCTCCACCTGGCTGGGGCAGAGGAGACCATGAGGTCGCCTGTGATGTCCCACGGGGGCCGCGGCTGACACTCACTAGACCCCAGCCCCGGCCCCCAAACTCAGAGCTGGCTCTGTTGGAAATGGCGGGGCAGCCTGCAAGAGCCCAGCACCCTACCTGAGGCGTCCTTCCTTGCACGGGAGCCTTCCCCAGGCCAGCGCTGGGCATTAAGAACAGGTTGACCCCTCCGGCGGGCTTCTTCACTGGAGCCTCCAGCTGTTTCTCAAGGTTTTTGACCAGCGACTGCACCAGTGTTCCTGGAAGGCAACCAGAGGGAAAATTGCAGAGGATGAACGCCTCATCCTTGTAGGTCACGACCAGGCTCTGGTGTGGATAGAGGGAGTGTGGAGAGGGGTCAGGAGGAAGAAGGAAGGGCAACTGCAAAGAAGACGGGTGAGGATAGAGAGAAGGCCCAGGGCAATGGGTGCCAGCAAAAAGAGGCTCTGACCATCCTAAAACTATAACGGCACTTAACAACATGGCTGCAGATAGAGGCTTAGAAAGCTGTTCCTCTCTCTAAATGGGAGGAAGAGGCAGAACCTCTGCTCACTTGGTACATGAAAAGCAAAACTAACATGCAAACACAGCCTCCTTCAACATCTGCACTGAGATGAGAAGAAATATCATAAATATAAATTATCACAGAAGGACTGGAGGCCAGACAGGCTTTCTGCAAACTCCATGCAGGAAGGAGAGCTAAGCAGGGACAAAGATTATCAACAGACTCCTGGTGACATGGTAAACCACAGTGGATGTCCAGACCTCAGGAATGTCCAGGAAGCAGGGAGCTAACCATGGCCTTGTAGGATTCAACTGTCTGAGAGTCTGAGCAGACAGCTGGGGCTACAACAGCCCTTGGTTTAATGACTCATTAGAGAAATGTTTGTTTGTTTTTTAAATTGTTTTGTTTATTTATTTTTGAGAGAGAGAGACAGAGCATGAGCAGGGGAGAGGCAGAGAGAGAGGGAGACACAAAATCCAAAGCAGGCTCCAGTCTCTGAGCTGCCATCAGCACAGAGCCCGATGCAGGGCTCAGACCCATGAATGGTGAGATCATGACCTGAGTCAAAGTTGGATGCTTAACAGACCGAGCCACCCAGGCGCCCCTCAAGAAAGGTTTGTTAAGGGCCACTATGTACCAGGCACTGTGTTCCTCACCCCTCATTAATTGTCCTGAAACCTCATTTTACAGCAAAGGAACCAAAACCCCTCACACAAGCACAAGCAGGTAACAAGTGATAGAACCCAAACTATCAGATGACTCCTGACTCCCACTTCTAACACCCTTCCACCTTATCCCCCCACCTGGCAGCCATCAGTACTTCTCCAAACATCTAGTTCTGGTGGGTTCTGATGGACCACAGGCTTGCAATATGCTATGGACAAGATAAAGTTCTCCAGAATCCATTAAGAGCATGGACTTTACAGATTGCTCAGATCTGGGTTTATATCCCAAAGCTTCCTCTTATAACTATGAAAAGACAAAACTCTTCAGCTCCATGTTCTTTAACTAAGCCTTGGCTAGAAAATGCACCTTAAGGCGTGCCTGGGTGGCTCAATCAGTTTAGCGTACAACTTCAGCTCAGGTCATGATGTCATGGTTCACAAGTTCAAGCCCTGCATCAATCTCTGTGCTGACAGCTCAGAGCTAGGAGCCTGCTTCAGATTCTGTGTCTCCCTCTCTCTCTCTGCCCCTCCACCCCCTTAAAAATGAATAAACATTAAAAAAAAATTTTTAAAGAGAAAGAAAATGCAACTGAAGCCAGAAGCTGCAGGCCTTTCCATGAACAGTTTTATAAGGAAATCTTGGAAGAGGGGTGCCAAGGTGGCTCAGTCGGTTGAGCATCAGACTGGATCAGGTCACGATCTCACAGTTCATGAGTTCGAGCCCCACACTGGCCTCGTTGCTGTCAATGCAGAGCCCACTTCAGATCCTCTGTGCCTCCCCCCACTCTGTCTCAAGCATAAATTTAAAAAACATAAAAAGAAAAGAAAATCTTGAAAGAATGATGGTTGACTTAGTTGTTTCGAGAAGAAAAATGGTCAATTAGTTATTGTAGTAACCTGTTAGATAGAAAGTGACAAGTTTAATGGATATATTTATTCCAGTTAACCGTAGCATTTAACTCAAATTTCTGTGATGTCTTTTCATCAAGTTGGATTTCTAAATCTCTTTACTGAAACAAGAGCAAAGAACTTTCCTGTAAAAATGCCCTTATGGACCTAAGGTCACGGTTGGAAATGAGTTAGCCTGCTATGAAGGTTCATTGTGACTTTCTGAAGCTGTTCCCCTCCATCTCAAGGTTAGCTGGAAAACCACTCTTTTGCTACAAAAGCTTTTTTTGTGAGACTGCATGCGTTGCTTGTAGCCTCTCTCAAAATGTTCGATGTAACCTAGGTTTGCCCTGGAGGCTACTTTCACTGTAGTGATAGTTAACCGGGTGACCACAACCCCCTGATCTGGTACTAATGAACTCAAGCAGCATAAAAGTCTGTGGGGATATTTTCAAAATTAGGAAAATGGCTAAAGGCAGTTCTTTCTGGGAAAAAATTTATTTGTCAAGTAAAAAGAAAATACAACACCAACACATGAAACTTCAAAACCATAATACAGAATCTTAGTTTTCCATGTTATTTGTTATGTGACCTTGAACAAGTAATATAAGGTGTCAGAGACTTAGTTTTCCACCTCAGGAATGATGTGTGCAGCACGCCTCACCTCACGGGTGGAACGAGGGCATTCCTGCCCTCCCAGGTTGGGCAAGCATAGCATGAACACTCTCTCAGTGGCCCCCACACCTTCCTACCTCTCCTATCCACCGGAGTAGCCAAGCAGAGGGACGGCAACAGCCCCTGGGCTATCTTTCTTTTTCTCTCTGACACGATCCCTACACCTGTGACCACGTTTGGAGGCCAGCTGGACTGTCCTCACAGTGACATACTACAGCCCTCTCTGGACTGTTTTGCAGACCCCGCCCTTAATGGTCATGGATCTGGGCTGGGGAGGCTAGAGGGGTTCCCACACTGGCCTCAAGAGCCAATCCGGCTCTGAGAGGAAGCCTATGCCTTAGCATTACTAGGCACTGTCTCCAGTAATAGAACACTTTAATCTCCATTGGTCTGGCCACCATGTTCATTCTCTACTGGTAAGAATGTGGGGGACAGAAGGAGTAGGTGAGCTCCTCCAACCTCCAACAGTTAAGCAATTCGATGACAACACAAAGGGCAAAATAAAACTCACTCAGATTCTATCCTTCTTCTGATATCTCTGCGACCACAGGAAAATACCTAATGGGAGGGACAGTCATTCTCTCCAAGTCACAGTGAGTTGCCAAATCAGAAAATCCAAAGAAAATCACATGGTGTTTCCAGGACAAAGAGATCTGGGCTGAAGAAGGGCTACCCCGGGGGTCCCAGATTACTCACCCGAGGAAGCCAGGCCACCTGAGCCCTTGTCAGGGGGCTGGGCACTCCCGTCCAAGGCCTCTGTGTCAGACCAGTCACAGCTGTCCTCTGGCCGGGGCCCCATCCTGGAAGGACCTCGCAGGGGCTGGAGAGATGTCCGCTGCATGGAGTTTCCCTCCGAGTCCTCTTCAGAACTGAACGGGGGCGTACTGTCACAGAGGAGAAGAAATGAGGGCTATGTAGGCCAGAAAAACTTTAAAAGCCAAACCTCACCACTTGTAAGCGTGTCTGATTTTCCCCAAGCCAGCCCTCCTCCTTCCTTGGGCGCAGATGACAGCCAGGAGTCACCCAGAGCATGGCGGCCTCACCAGCAACTCTGTTAGAGGATGATGACCCAGGCTTTCTGGTGCAGCAAGTAAGACTCAAGGAAGAGACATGAAAGGAAAGGGTAGGTTTGTCCTGGCCAGGAGCAAAGGACCCCAGTCTCTTCATCAGATCTCAAGATGGACCCCAACTGAGGTTCACTTCTGTCTCTGCCCCTCACCTGTGTGCAGAAACCTGTGGGAAGCCCCCATCAGGGCTGCCTGAGGCTGGGAGCCACAGCCAATACCCAGCAAGAGTGCAGGGTCCGGGGCTCACCTTGGCCCGGGCCCTGGGGAAGCAGGGCTGCCGGACGGTCCACGTGCTCTGGGGCGTGGAGTAGGGGTGGACATGTGAGCCAGGCCAGGGCCTCGGCTGCTGCGGCTCTGAAGAGTTGTCGTGGGTGGCTCTGCTGGCTTGGATGGTGATGCCACATGCAGGGTCCTGGGCTTTGGCTGGGCCTCTTGGATGGCCAGTGGGTTCTGCTGGCTTTTGACTAGAAACACAGGTAGGAGTAAGTTCCAAGGCATGACCATCTGGGCCCTCAAGCCTGAAGAGGACATAGAGCGAGGTTCTGGCACACTAGAAATGGAGAAGTCACTCGCAGTATACCATAATAACCAGATATAATCGCTGCCTCCACCCCAGGTGTCCTGCTGCTGGCCAGACTCGGGGCTGGGACCCACGTTCTGGCAGAGACCAGGAGAGCAGCTCTCCTTCCAGGGTCACATCATCATTCCAGGAGTCCCACAGGCGTCGGCAGGTCTAAAGAGGGGCCCATGGGGTGCCTGGGTGGCTTAGTCAGTTGAGCGTCCAGCTTCAGCTCAGGTCATGATCTAATGGTTCGTGGATTCAAGCCCCACATCGGGCTCTGTGCTGGCAGCGCAGAGCCTGCTTGGGATTCTTACTCTCTCCTCTCTCTCTCTGCCCCTATTCTGCTCGTGCACTCTCTTTTTCTCTCTCAAAATAAATGAAAGAAACTTAACAAAAAAATAAAAAGCGGCCCAGCATGTCTGCAGTTTAACCCTCCCTGTGCAGTGCTAGGGGCTAATCTAGCCAAGAGCACCTACCCTCTCTACCCACCCAAGGCTGCAGCGGCTGCAGTGCACACAACATTGCAGGCAGACCCTGCTGCCACCAGAGGTCACCACAGGACCATATGGGTCACCTAGATCCACTATGTCCGCCAGGTACTCTCAGCAGCAGGAGTGCTCTAAAGGCAAGCGCTCAGACCCAGCCCCTCCCTTTTCCAAATTCCCCAGTGAGGTCTCCAGGATCAGCAATTTCTTTTCCGGAAAGAGAAGTAAAGGGCATGACAGAGTGTCAGAGTAAGCACTGTCCCACAAAACTCTTGAAGTGTGGATTGTCACAGTGTAAACTATTTCTTACTGTAGCTCAAGATCGAAAACGTTGGAAATATACCGCTCTCAGAGAATGCATTTACACAGAGGTGGATCTTCTAAGAAGGGCAGACTGGAGAGATGGGGAAAGCAGACAAACTCGCTGAGGAAAAGCAACAACAATAATAGCTACAGTTACTGCACACAGACATCAAGCTAAGCACTTGATCTACAGCCCCCACTAGCCCCAGACCCCTTAGGAGAGTGTCGTTTTCCCTACTTTACAGAGGCTGCAAGAGATCCAGGGGCTCAATCAAGGTTCTCAGTTCCACGCAGGTCAGTGGTACCTGCAAACCCAGGTCATCAGCCACCCCAAATCCTGGGCTCTTGCCACTCACGGCCTCGCTACACTCCACAGCTTTGCCCCAAAACGAAAGAGGCACAGTCTGAGCAGAGATCAAAGGTGAGCATTCACACAGCACTCGTGGGGCCTAGAAAACGAGTCTGTGGGTATACAGCTGGAAAGAGAGGTCTACAAAATGCTGTGGAAACACAGTGCTCAGGTCACAGCACTGTGGCATGCCCTGGAGAAGGCAGGGCCCCAGGACCAGGGGGGGAGGATAAGCAAGGGAGTGGTCCTCAGTCCGGCTTCCTGACCACTGGAGCAAGGGCTGGATGGGAGGGGCTTCCTGGAGGAGCAAGAGGCCTTTCCTCTTTTGGAATCCTGTCCTCAGAGGATGCTTTCATTCTTCTCCCGTGCCTCGCTGTCCCCTTTCTCTTCCCAGCACCCACAACCCCTGTGCTTAGTCCCATCACCACCTAGTCTGGGCTGGTTTCCCAGCAGAGGATCTGTGCCGAGCAGCCTCAGTAAAATTGAAAATTTTACTGGTCCACGTACCAACTAAAATCATCTTTCACATCCCCAGAAAATGTGGTCCACACGCTGGGAAATTCCTTAGGATGAAGAGCTCAGGCGGGTCTGCCTGGACACAAGGAGATAAGAGAAGGGATGTCCCCCTGATACACGCTCAGGAGGAAAAGGAGCTGCAGCGCCGCCCTGCACACACAGCCTCAGACCCCCTGAAGCCCTCCCCAGTGTCCCCAATTTCAGCAGCTTGGTGAATCTGGAAATCCTCTAGAAACAGGGGGCTCTTAAACTTAGGAACACAGGTTCCCTTGCCTCCTCAGTTCCCTGAGGACAGAGACTGGAGAATCACCCACACACTTGAATCCTCCCCAAGAACCCCCACCCCTCACACACACACACACCCTCCGGCCTTTCCTTGTCACACACCCCCAGAGGCAAAACAGTGGCCATGACCTGACCCAGGGAACCAAGCTTTCAGGGTGCGTCCGCAAGCAGAGCTTGTCCAGCCCCTCTCATGGTTCCAGAGCGGATGTTTCCTCTGATTCTCATTTGCTCTGCCTGCAACCCCAGTGCTCCCAGACCTTGGGCCTTCTGCCAGCGCTGACATCCCCTGGCTTCAGGGCCAGAAACTGAGTGTGCTCTTCTCCATTGGAGCAAAGTTCAACTTGTGGTCAAAGCAAGTAAGCTGCTGAGCAGGGGCAGCAAGCTCAGGGCGGACCACAGGCTCCAGCTCTGGCTCTCCTCCAGCTTCCCTGGTGACTCTGGGGCCCACTCCTGGGCCCCTTCCCACCAACAGAGGGCTTTTGGACTCAGTCACCTGCACGGGGGATGCTACCATCTCGCCCGTTGGAGCAGTGCCCTGCTGGAGGCAGGAAGTACACTCTCCTCGTGTGCAAATGAGCCTGGACCCTCCCGGCCACAGCCCCCAAGCAAGCCCTCTCACCAGCTCACCTGGAGCCTTCCTGTCCGGCTGAGACGCCGGGACCCTGTGTCTCTGTCTCTCCATCACTCTGCTGGTGGCCTCCTTGACAAGCTTTTCCCTCAGACTCAGAAATTCAGAAAACCTCCGTGCCTTCTGCTCCCGGTGGGCTCTCAGGAAGGACTCCAGGTGTCTGAGAGTTTGAAAGGGGATTCCCTTTGCATCCTAGAAGAGACAGAAGTTCCCTCTTTGGCGACAGAAGTTCCCCTACTCCTTCCCCCAAGCCTCTCGCACCTGCTGCTGGCCTAGGAGTCACTGTGGTGCTTTCTGGAAGAAGACGGGATGCGTGTCACAGCTGGGTGGGCGGAGGCTGCACACGCTGCAGGAAGTGTAATGGTTTAGGGTCTGGGAGCTGCGTCAAGACACGCATGGCAAGAGGATGCAACGGGGCTGCGCACAGCTCCATTGACGTCACAACATGCCCTCCTGCCACCCCACTCATCTGAGGACCGGGACCACAGCCTACTGCTCTTATATGTCAGGCACTATCATTATGCTAGACATGCTGTCGCCATGGCTAACAATGCGTGAAAAATCAACTGCAGGGGCACCTGGGTGGTTCAGTGGGTTAGGCATTCGACTTCGGCTCAGATTACGATCTCACGATTCATGGGTTCAAGTCCTGCATCTGGCTCTGTGCGGACAGCTCAGAGCCTGGAGCCTCCTTCGGATTCTGTGTCTCCCTCTCTCTTCCCTTCCCCACTCATGTTCTGTCTATCTCTTAAAAATGAATAAACATTTAAAAAAAATTTTTTTAAAGCTGACTAACCTTCCAAGACCTGCTGGAAATTGCTTGGGCTTTTGACATCCACCCAGAGCCCGTAAGGATTCATTCGAGGTTGGAAAGAAATGTTTTAGGGGGCACCTGGGTGACTCAGTCAGTTAAGCATCTGACTTCAGCTCAGGGCATGATCTCATGGTTTGTGAGTTCAGGCCTTGCATTGGGCTCTGTGCTGACTGTTCAGAGCCTGGAGCCTGCTTTGGATTCTGTGTATCTCTCTCTTTTTCCCCTGCTTGCACTCTGTTTCTCTCTCTCTCTCTCTCTCCCTCTCTCTCTCTCAAAAATAAACATTAAAGGGACACCTGGGTGGCTCAGTTGGTTAATTGTCCAACTCGGCTCAGGTCATGATCTCACGGTTTGTAGATTCGAGCCCCATGTCAAGCTCTATGCTGACAGCTAGCTCAGAGCCTGAAGCTTATTTCAGATTCTGTATCTCTCTCTCTCTCTCTGACCCTCCCCTGCTCATGCTGTCTCTCTCTCTCTCTCTCTCAGAAATAAATAAAACAAAAAATATTTTTAAAAAACATTAAAAAATGTTTAAAAAAGAAAGAAATGTTTTAATTAAGTCTGATCATAGAACCAAAGTTAGATGAAACAGTAGTTGAAAAGTCAAAGGTTAGTGTTTTTATTTAATAAAATATGTCATTGATGCCTTTAATGATAAAATGCATGCTCTGGTTAAACACAGGCATGAAGGAACAATGGCATTCAAATACTAATTTGTACCAGACATAGCTTTCAGTGCCTGCCTCGCCCACAGCCATGTGCTGAGTGCCATGGCCGTGTGTGCCGCTGATGATGGACACCTCGCCCAAGGGACCCTTACAGAGGGCAGACTGAACCAATTAAAATCCCTCTGTCAGAAACAGACACGGAAGAGTGGAGAGCACAGAGAGCTCTGGATGCAGGGCGACACCCAGAAACCACTGGGGACAGAGAACAGAGACCACGTTACTGCTGTGAGGTGAGGAGAAGCTGTGTGGGCTCATGTTCCTGGATATGAAAGGCCGCCAGATGGAACAAATAAGATGAACAAGCCTACACTGTAATGAGCAATCAAGCATTTGCCAGGTTAAGAACACCATGTGTCTAAATGGTAGGAGGTAACCCTACATCGGTAGCCCTGGAGCTTACTCTCTTTATCCCCAGGCTTTCCAGCTTCTCTTCCAGGGTGTCCTCCAGGATGGGCCTGAACTGCTTCAGCAGGGTGGGGTTTCGCCTCAGAGCTGCCAGCACCTTCTGCTGTCCATCTCGGGAGTCCTCCAGCTCTGCAGCACGAGACAGTCACCAGGGTGAGAGGAGGTGAGGCAGGCACAAAGGACAAATGCGTCAGATGCCGCTCCAAACCCTGCCTCCACGCACCTGCTGGCTCTGTGGCCCTGAGCAAGTCACTGAGCCTCTCTGGGTTTCCCCCTCAGGGAACCATTTAGACCACATGTTAGTGCCTGTGTGTCATGTGCCCAGCACACATAAGGAGCTTCAGGAACACTTGTCTCCTGTCCCTACTTCCCTCCCCGCCCCCGCCCCCGGCATCAGTAGCCAGATACGGTGAAGTAGAAACAAACTAAACAGTGAAGAGGACAAATCTGTGTCCTGCATTGGACCCCAGGGTAAGAAGTAAGGCCTCACCTTCCTCGGAAGAGTCCTCCTCTGTGTCCACGGCCTTCGGGCCCTTGCGGATCCCTGAGAAGAGCAGCAACAGTTAGTGGCCTCAATGCCCTGGACCCCATCCCTGACCGAGACGAAAGCATGGGACACCGTGTGAGTGCTGCCAAGAAGGGGCAAGCCCTCCGGTTGTTTCTGTACCCAGGAGAGGCAGGATGGGGCCACGGTCAAAAGCACAGACCCCGGGAGCCAGAAAGACTGGAGTTCACACGGCCCACCCCTGCCCAACTAGCTGTGCACAACACGGGGACCCCGGGAACCTCGCCAAGCCTCAGGCTCCTCATCTAGAAAATGAGGATGATGGGGCGCCTCGGTGCCTCAGTCAGTTAAGCAGCTGACTCCTGATTTTGGCTCAGGTCATGATCTCTTGTTTGTCAGTTTGAGTCCCACATCGGGCTCTGCACTGATAGTGTGGAGCCTGCTTGGGATTCTCTCCCTCTCTCTCTCTCTGCCCCTCCCCTGCTCTCTCTCTCTCTCAAAAATAAACTAAATAATAATAATAATAATAAATGAGGATGGTAATGCCCAGCCCACCTGAAATTGTGGAGACAGACAGTGTAATAAGACCATGAATCTAAAGTGCTCGGCAGAGCGCATGGCACACGTCCCAGCCCCAGCCCTTGGGATGGCTGGGGCCTCAGGGACACTGCTTCTCTGAATGGGTTGCAAAGCTGGGAAGGAGACGTCTGACCTAGAGGCAGGGGGTGGGAAGAGATGTGTGGATTTGGAAGAAAAGGCAGAAGCGTGGCTAAAGAGCTAGGACAGAAGCGGGAAGGAGTGGGAAGGGCCAGGTTTCATGAGGGGCAGGCCAAGGCCGTCAGCCAGGGCCGGTGCCCTGTCCATTCCTGTCTCCCTTTAGAGGCCAGCGCGTGCTCGCCAGCACACGCGCATGCACACAAGCACTATGCAGCAGCACAGCGAGGAACAGCATATACTCCACTCCGGTCACACTCCCACTGACTTGGGTCAACGTGCTACCCCCTGGGAGCAAGGTGAAAGTTGATGGCCCAGACCACAGATGTGATGGATTAGAAAGAACCTTTTCCCAGACCCTGCTCCAGCCCTCACTGCCCCCAGGACCCCCGCCCTTCCCCATGTCTCCACCGCCCTACAGAGGAGAGCAGGTCAGGTGAGAATACACTGCAGGCTAGAGCCCTATGTGTCCCAGAAGCAAATATCTCCCTCCCCTCCCTCACCCGCCAAAGAGCCTGACACCACATGTTCCATGAGCTGCTGTCGTCACCACCACCACCACCCCCCTCATTCTGTAAACTGACTGGTGGGGAACAGGAAAGAGAAGAGGACATGACAAAATACTCCGTGCAGACTTACCCTCCTCCTTCCTCTGAGTCATGGTCTGGATCTACAAAGATGTGGAAGAGAACGGTTACAGCCAGCAGGGCGCTCTGCTCTGAGCAGTGCATCTGCCTAGCACCAGAAAGAAGGGACAGCCCCTGTTTCCACACCTCCCCCAGGAACAAGGAGCTCAGAGTACACCGCCCAACCCCCCAGCACATCTCCATATGTGGGGGGGGGGGGGTGGCACCAAGGCTGGATGGCAGCAACTGGCATGGCGTCCTGCCACCTTTTCCCCGGGTGGGAACGACCCCCCTTCAAATCCTGTGATTTGAAGGGCAGGAGCCCCATGCAAGCTGAGTGGGACAGGCACACAGTCAATACTATTGGTACTAGCGATGGACAACCAGGGCAAGGTAGGCTCCCTCCCACGACGTGGGCATCTGAGCTGAGTGGCCCCTGGGAGGAAGGAGGCGTGATGTGGACGGTCACTAACCTGTCTGCACAGCCCCCTCCTCTTCCTCCTCCTTCCACACAGCTGCACATGGGACAGCCACTAGTGAATATGTCTCCCCCACAGCCATAGTTGACTGTCTACGTTTGGGTAGAGAACTCTGAACTGGAAACTTATGAAGTCAAGAACCAGTGGCAGCCAACTGGTTTTGGTTTTCTTAGTTCACTTGTTTGCTTGTTTGCTTTGCCACATGGGACAGATATGAAGTGAAAGGTGATCTTCAGAATAAAAGAAAAAAATTGAAGCAGATATACAGAACAGAGGCACACAGCAAAGGAAAACTCCTGACCACATTTATGTTTCTGGTTCCAGTTTATTCCCAGACCCAACTGCTCTTCTGCTTGAACTGTGTGAGACACCCTGTCTACCCTAATGACAAATTCCCTCTTCTGCTTAAGCTTGAGTTGTTTTTTATTATGTACCAATGAATGACACATCCAGTGTCCATTTCCAAATGTTTCCTCCCTTGCCTACCTCTGCTCTGGAGACTGTAAAACTAATTATTTGCTTTTTAACCTTCTTTACAGCTGTGGTTGCCCATGTATACCTTTGATAAGATATAAGCAAAAGTCTTAGAAAGGGACCTTTTCATCAACTTCTTCTACTGAATATGGCTGTGATGGTTGGAGCTATGGCAGCCACCTTACAATTGTGAGAGTGAAGCATGAGAACAGAAGTCAACACACTGAAGATGGTAGAAAGAAAAACAGTCTGGATTTCCAATGGCATAATTTGGCTGCTAAGCCAAGGCCATCAACTGTCACCTCTTTTGGTGTTACAATAAAAATAAACCCCTATTAGCCTACTCTAACTCCATGTTTAACCAGTGAGCTCCTAAGTGAACTATCTGCAAACAAGAGTTCTGGATAACAGAAGGAAGAAATGTCCAGACTCGTCCTGAAGCGGCCACAGCAGTGAAGCTAAGTATATGCAGGGGGGATGAGGGGAGCAGTGCAGTAAAAAGAAAAGCAGCAGAGGAGGGGGTTAGATGCCTGGCTGAAGTTTGGCTGGGAGAACAGAAGAGCACAAATAGGCAGCATGCAGGAACAAGACTGAATAGATATTGACAGGAGGTGCTCTGTGCAGACAATCTGTGTGGAGGGTGGTATCAGAACCATGGCAAGGTCCTGAGACCACAGAGGAGCCCCTCTGAGGACAGAGACACTTCTCTGCTGACCTGGAGCTCAGAAGCTGGAGCTGAGCCTGAGCAGAGAGTTACCAGCAACAGGGGAAGAGTCCTGGGGCCAGTTTTAGGAGAGAGGCGCTTCGTAAGTGACTTCTCATCATACTAGTCTACCTGACAACCTCATCAGAGGCTGTTAATTTATGAAAAGGGTACTGGTTAGGAAATGACATCTGTGAACATGGTGAAAAGAACACAGCCTTTGTACTCCACTGCCTGGCCAGGGTTGAATCCTCCCCTGGATCTTATAGGGGGTCCAATGCGGACTCAAGGGAGGCACTTGACTTCTCCAGCCGGTTTCATCATCTGTCAAACGACGATGATGAGATGGCAATATTTGCCTGCAAAAGTGAGGTTTAAATGAAGTAATAGCTTCTCCAAAGAGGACATCCAGATGGCCAACAGACACATGAAATGATGCTCAGCATCCCTCCTCATCAGGGAAATACAAATTAAAACCACACTGAGATACCACCTCACGCCAGTCAGAGTGGCTAAAATGAGCAAATCAGAGAACTCTAGATGCTGGCGAGGATGTGGAGAAACGGGCACCCTCCTACACTGTTGGTGGGAATGTAAACTGGTACAGCCCCTCTGGAAAACAGTGTGGAGGTTCCTCAGGAAACTAACAATAGAACTCCCTTATGACCCAGCAATAGCACTGCTAGGAATTTACCCAAGGGATACAGAAATGCTGAGGCATAGGAGCACATGTACCCCAATGTTCATAGCAGCACTCTCCACAATAGCTAAAACATGGAAAGAGCCTAAGTGTCCATCAACAGATGAATGGATCAAGAAGATGTGGTTTATCTATACCATGGAATACTACATGGCAATGAGAAACAATGAAATCTGGCCATGTGTAGCAACATGGATGGACCTTGAGGGTGTTATGCTGAGCGAAATAAGTCAGGCAGAGAAGGACAAATATCATATGTTTGCACGTATAGGAGGATTAGGAGGAACTTGACGGAGGAACAAGCGGGAGAAGAAGGGGGGAAATGGTGGGGGAACGGGAGAGAGGCAAACCATGAGAGACTCTTGAATGCTGACAAAAACTGAGGACTGATGGATGTGGGGGGGAGGGGGGGATGGGCATGGAGGAGGACACTTGTGGGGATGAGCACTGAGTGTTATGTGGAAACTAATTTGACAATAAACTATTTGTAAATAAAAATAAATAAAATAAAATAAAAAATAAATAAATAAATGAAGTAATAGGCCAAGTATTGACAAGGTGCCTGTCTTGAGATGGTCTCTGATGTTGTGAACCCAGCAGCACACAGGCACATCTTCCGCCTGCAGAAAGCCTGCATCCTCACCATTCTGTGCTCCTGAAGCCTGAGGACCTTGCTCTCTCCTTAAAGAGCCTGACTAATGAGACCAGTGCCAGTGAGTCCCAGAGAATAGAAGGAGAGCCTCGCAGAGAAGAGGTCTAGGGGCGCAGAGGCCTGGCTGGGAAGAGGGACAGACCTACCATCTCTTCCTGGGAAGTGATGAGCCTGGCTTGTTCCTGGAGCTGGGCACGGAGGGCATTGATCTGGCGCTGGGCCTGGGCGGCTGCTTTCCTCTGATCCTGAGACAGGGAGGCCTGGAGCCTCTCATTCTGCTCCTGCAGCTGGTGGGCACAGGGGAGTCCATCAGTCAAATGTCCACAAGGACCTCTGGGTGCCCGGGATCGGCCGGGCCTGCACCTGTAGGCAAACACTGGCCGGAGTTTCGCCTGAAGCAGGGGAAGGGCTTCCTGACCTGGACAGCTGGCTTTCTAACAAGACTGACTACCTTCCAAGGTGCGCTTAAGGGAAAGGAAGAATTGCACACAGTCCCCTAAGACCAGGGCAAAAAGGCTCTCTGTCCAGCGTGACCATCCCCTGAAGGACAGTCAGGTAACCCGAAGCCATTCAAAAGTCCTCAAATTGTGTTTTTAGGTAAAAACAAAAGGTGAAGAAAATATGGTCACATGCTATTGTAACCGCAGAGAGAATACTATTTATGTTTGCATAAAGAAACTCTAGAAAACTACACTAGAAAGCAGTAAAGGTCAGCTGTGGGGGGGGGTTGCTGGGGGTGGGTAAATGGAGATGGGGAGGAAGTGAACCTTAATATATTTCAGCACACTTCACTGAGTGTACCTTAATATATTTCTTCTGCTTTTTGAATACATTTAAGTGTATTTCTCATCCTAAACCATTTCAAATAAAATAAAACCATCAAGATGGGTATTAAAGGAATTGGGGGTGTCTATCACATGTCAGCCTCTGATCTTTTCTCTCTGAGCTTTCTATAGGCAGAACAGAGGGTGCTTGTTAATCGGCCTCCTCTGCAACTTGCTCCCTCCTCAGGGGCATTTTCATAGCAGCTGTTTTCTCCACCTGAGGCCTGCTGCTCTGCGTTCTGTGGTCTCCGTATCGGAGCCCTTCCATTTGTGCTCCCTCTGCACTACGGCTGAGGTCCCCATCCGCCTGCTTCTCTCCTGAGTGGGGTTTCAAAGAAGGGCCCAAACATGAAATAGCCAGGCAATTCATCGGATGTTTTCGGCACAACCCTCCTCGCGGGGCCTGAGGGGTCCCTACAGAGAGGACCACAGTGTGAAGCATGTGTTGGGTTAAGAAAAAAAGGCCTGGGGGCCCTACTCCTGGTCCCGGAGGCTACAGTCCAGGCCGTGGACCCCTTCTCTGTATGGATGGGAGTCAGCCACCAGGAAGTGTATCAGCAACAAAATACCTGCCAACCAGTTCGAGAGGGGTAGGGGTGGAGGATGGGGGTGCTGTAGGATGAGAGGAGGTCACAGGAAACCAAGCTACCCCAGACCACCCAAGAAGGGCTACCTCTCGCTTCTGGGCTGCATGCTCCCCTTGCAGTTCCTTCATTTTTCTCTTCCATTCCGTTTTCTGGAAAAGAAAAAAGTGTGTCAAATGGGCCCCTAGGTATTAAAATATCCTATAGCGGGCACCTGGGTTCCTCAGTTGGTTAAGTGTCTGACTTCAGCTTAAGTCATGATCTCACGGTTTGTGGGTTTGAGCCCCGCATCGGGCTCCATGCTGACAGTGCTGAGCCTGCTTGGGATTCTCTCTCTCCCTCTCTCTCTGCCCCTCCCCTGCTCATGCTCACTCTCTCTCAAATACATAAACTTTAAAAAATTAATTAAATAAAATATAGTATAAAGACACAGGAATTAAAAACTACTGGCTCATGATTAGGGAGTGTAGTGAAAAGGTAGAAAGCCCAGACCAAGACGGGGGAGAAAAATGGAATCTTAATCTGGAGGAAGATAGATTATTGACAAATGGAGTTCAAAAGGTGGTTAAACTGCCTAGGAAAAAAAAATGCGAAATTGAATCTTCTTTTTATATCTTAAACCAAAATAAATTTTAGGGGGGTTACAGACTTAACTTAAAAAACGGAAGTTACATCAGCAAGACGGTAAAATAAGAGGTTCCAGCTCTCAAACCCTCCACAATGAGAATTCCTTTATGGGAGCCCAGGAACCCAGCACCTCAGTGGAACCAAAACACCTGAGAATAGATACATTCCAGAGAAGTTTCACTTTACCTACATCAGTTCTCCCCCAAGGTGGCACAGCTCAGTGCCAAGGGAGACCTCCTCAGCCCCCAATCTTTCCCACGGGGGAAAGGGAGAGTGAGTGAACACCCGCGGTCCCAGCCTGGGTGGGATGCTGCCCAGGAGGCCCACTTCTGTCCCACCCCTGTCAGATCTGAAGGAAAGGACACAGCTGACTCAGCTTATAGAGCTGGCACACGGATCTCAACAACCAGCCACAGATCCAGCTGGCTGGCTTGCAGATCCCAGCAGGTATAAGTTGAGAAGTATATGTACGGAGAATTTACATGCAATTGATGTTAAGTTGTCATCAGCTTAAAAGAGACTGCTGTCCTAGAAGGTGTTTTACATAAGCCTCATACTAATCACAAAAAACCTACAGCAGATATGCAAAAAATAAAGCAATCAAAGCATACCACTACAAAATAAAACCATCAAATCAAAAAGGATGGAAGCTGGGGCCCCTGGGTGGGCTCAGTCGGTTGAGCATCCAACTTTGGCTCAAGTCACGATCTTACAGTTTGGGAGTTTGAGCCCGGTGTCGGGCTCCACGCTCACAGCTCAGAGCCTGGAACTGCTTCAGATTCTGTGTCTCCCTCTCTCTCTGTCCCTTCCCTGCTCATGCTCTGTCTCTCTCTGTCTCAAAACTAAACATTAAAAAAATTACTTAAAAAAAAGATGGCAGCAAAAAAGAAGGAAAGGAACAAAGTAACTACAAAAGTCTGAGAATAATTAATAAAATGGCAATAGTAAGTCCTTACTTACTGATAATTACTTTAAATTTAAATGGATTAAATACTCCAACTGAAAGACAAAGAATGACTGAATGGACTAAAAAAACAAGAGCCAGCTATGTGCTGCCTACAAGAGACTCACTTTAAGGGCATACTTGAAACTGAACAGATGGAAAAAGGTGTTTCATGCAAACAGTAACCAAAAGAACATGGGTAGCTACACTCTGTCAGGTAAAAAAGACTTAAAGTAAAAAAAATGGTTACAAGAGACAAGATCACCATATAATGATAAAGGGGTCAATTCATCAACAGATTATAACAACTGAAATATATATGCACCCAATGTCAGGGCACCTAAATATATAAAGTGAATATTAATACAACTGAAAGGAAAAATAGACAGCAATACAGCAAGAGCATGGGGCCTTAATAGCCCCTTTCAGCAATGGAGAGATCCAGACAGAAAAGCAGTAAGGGAACACTAGACTTGAACAGCACACTAGACCAAATGGACCGAACAGACATACAGAACATTCTACCCAAAAGGAGAACAACCTACAGAATGGGAGAAAATATTTCGCAAACCATATATCTGATAAGGGCTTAATAGCCAAAATAATAAGGAACTTATACAACTCAATATTTGAAAAAAAATTAAAATGGACAAAAGACCCAAATACACATTTCCCCCCAAAAGGCCTATAATGTCATTAGTCAGCAGAGAAATGTAAATCAAACCACAATGAGATATCACCTCACACCTGTCAAGATGGCTGTTATTTAAAAAAAAAAAAAAAAAAAGATAACAAGTGTTGGCGAGGATATGAAGAAAAGGGAAACTTCATACACCGTTGGTGGGAATGTAAATTGGCATAGTTATTATGAAAAACAGAGTGGGAGCACCTAAAAAGATTAAAAACAAGAGTTAACTCATTTCTCCAGGGTATCTCCCATGTGAACACGAGATATACTTGCTAATAAACTTGTTTTTCTGTTGTTAAAAAAATTAAAAATAGAACTACCATATAATCCAACAATCCCATTTCTGGATATTCCTCCAAAAAACTGAAATCAGGATCTTAAAGAGATACACTCCCATGTTCAATGCAGCATTATTCACAATAGCCAAAACATGGAAACCTAATAATCCATTGGTAGATGAATGGATAAAGCAAATGTGGGACATACACACACTGAAATACTATTTGGCTTTAAAAAAAGAAGGAAATCCTGCATCAACATGAATGAACCTAGAGGATATTATGCTAACCGAAAGCCAGGCAAGAAAGACAAATACTGTATGATCTCACTTACGTGCGGAAACTAAAATAGTCAAACTCACAGAAACAGGGAGAGAATGGTGATCATCAGGGGTTAAAACAGGGAGAAGATGGGAAAGTCACAGTCAAAGGGTACAAAGTTTGTTATGCAAGATATATATACTGTATTGTATACTTTGCTAAGAAAGTAGATCTTATGTTAAGTGTTACTGCCACACACAGAGATAAAGAGGATGGAAGGAAATTTTAGGAGGTGATAGAAATGATGGCAGACTGATGGTGGTGATGGTTTCAAGGGTGAGTACTTATCCCCAAACTCGCTGAGTTGTATACATCAAGTACATACAACTTTTCACATGCCAATCATATCTCAGTAAAGTAGTATGAATGATGAATGAATGAATGAATGAGGCCAAAAAAGCACTAAAATAAAACACAGAAATATTTTCTTTTTAAAGCTCAGAGTCGGCATAAACGAAAGATTGATAATTTGATCATTTTCACCACATAAACATTATTAATTTTGCGTGACCCAAACCACAATAAAGAAAACTGAAGGACCAACGTTGTGGACAAAATAAGCAGAAGAATGGAGGAGGGCTGGATTCACTTCCATGTGCTATGCGAACTCAAAAATTGGTAAGGAAATCGTTAGAAAATTAGGCAAAAGAATGTGAACAGATGTCATAGAAAAAAAATTAGCTTCTCTTAATGGGAAACTTATGAAAGGAAACATCAAGCAGTAGAAACACTTTACTGCGGTTAACTAGACTTTAATCCCTTTCTTCACAATCTTAGGCAGAAACAGAAGCACAACCTGACTCAGTAATGATCCCCATTGCCCTTCCTTGCCATGGGATTATCAGTGATTTAGACCCTCTCGCTGGACTGTTGCACGATTCATCCGGTGGTGGCCACAGTCACCTCCTGCCACTCATGAGAGCAGACTGTGCACAAGCCTGCCCAATTCCACGACATTGGCCACCAAGGGAAATTTTACACCATGGAAAATGGCAACTGCTACCTACTAAAGCAGAGTGGTTGTTAAATATCTACCGTCACATCACTAGATCCATCCCAAATACCTTCAAACCCAGGTAAACTGTCGCACTTCCTAAATGTTGTTTCTAACTGGGTAGAATCAAAATGAGGGTAAAGGCACCCAGTAAGAGACATAACTGTATGTGTTTTGAAAAGATCCCAGGCAAACCTGATACTGCACTCGTGTGGATCAGCAGCCTCACCTGAGAACCCTAAGGACCCTATTTCATGGTTCCATGTATTGGCAGAAGGTCTGACAAGATAAAACTTGATGTCTTTCAGCTTCTGTTAACACCATAAAGCAAGACTGAGACATTTTGTTGGAAGACAACATGGCTGTCTGCGAGTGGAAAGCAAGAGACATTAGCTCACCTGGATTTCCATCTTCTCCTTCAGGGCCCGGAGCTCCTGAGTCTGCCTGAGTCGCTCCTCAGACTCTTCGTCCCGTAGTGACCCGAGGTTGGACTCCATCACACTGTGGGACTGCAATGCCTGCAGTTTCTGAAAAGGCCAGGATAGAGTTGTATTTAAATGAGGATCTAATCTTTGATGTTGTCTTTTACACCTCAAGCAATGTCAAAAAGGCACACCTTACTCAACTACAAACTCCATCTTGTCCTCACCAGACATCTACATGCCTGCGAACACACACACAGGTGAGCGTTCCCCCTCACCAGGATTCCCCAAGAGCTCAGTGCTCACACAGGAGCGCAAGTTCCCAGGGAAGAACAGAATTCAAGAACACAATTTCAAATGCACTAGAATTTTGCTGCATCCAAAATCTGGAGCTCACCAGACAGCTGCCCCCTTTCTTCTTCAGTCTCAAATAGGGGTATTCTCAGGTATTCTGGACCATTCCCTGAAGACTCCTGTCCCTCCTCCCACAAAAAAAAATCCTGGTTGTCCCCAAAAAGACCAGGCTTTGTGTGGCTTGGCGTGGTATCACCAATATCCAACAATTCCTCAGCCAGCTGTGTGTAATCTGAAGGAAAAGGTACAGAAAAGTGGATCCTAGAGAAGAGGCCTTTCCACTTATGGTGGAAGACATATTTTTAAATATGTCACTGCTGCATTCACAAAAGTAAATTACCTCCATCTCTACTATTATACAAAACCAGTAAGACCCATTAAAGCTTTCAAGAACTGCAAGTTGCTGAGTTTAACCTGATATCATGCTTGCTAATCTTTAACTCTTCTCCACTGCTAAAGCAATATCCGGTCCAAATGTTAACCATTTCTAAACCCCTTGAGTATTTTCATAGAGTCAAGTGCTTTATCAAGTGTGTGCACAACCCTCCGCTTCTCGTGTGTCATTTCTGCCTTCACACCGATGCTTATGACGCCCAGAGAGCTGGCTCTCCTGGCATTACAAAGCTGCACGGTAATTTCCATTCAAATGGGGACTCCTTTGGCTGCTGGATTTGCCCTACATCTTATCTCTCTCTCTTCAGTCAGGGAAATCAGCCAAAGTAACCTCACAGACTTCTGTACCAGGGGGGATATTTTGAGGAGAAATATCTTCAAAAAGTATCTCCCTCTCAATGGCCCTCCTGACAGCAAGGAGAATCTTTTGTTGTGTTATGAGGCAGACGGTCTTACAGTGTCATTCACACTCACTCTAAATGAAATCTTCTCTTTTTCTCCCCAGAATTAGAAAAAAAAATTATCCAAATACACTGAGAATTGAGTCTCCAGTTTGGTTCCCATAATAAAAATAAAATAATGAAATGTCACATGAGAGGGGACAGGGAGAGACACATAAATATAAAAACACAGCATAAGCAATCCTACAGAGGAAAGACAAAAAAATGTTAAAAAATGTTTCAGTTTAGGAAAATGTGATCCAAGTTAAAAAGAAACCACGGATGGTAAGAAGTAGGTCCTCATTCACCAAAACTTACAATAACCAAAATAACCCTCTTAGCCAAAATGACCCTCTGACCTTTGATGGGGTGGTTTCTGAACAGTAGCTCCAAAGTCAAATCAATACCTATCTATCAAATGTCTGGTCAGCTAGCGCCACATCAGGGGATGAGTGTGAGTCAGCAGGGTGCAGGCCAGCTGGGGTGGAGGGGGCCATGGAGCTGGGGGGTAAGACCATGAGGTCCATATGGTGGGGTAACATCTTATCTCCCACAAATCGTTCCTTACCACACTGCAGGACCATTTAGGATGGGAGAGACTGAGTCACTACAGACACCCCCCCACACACACCCCCACACACACACAGCTCTCTTCTCGACCCCTCAGCCATCCCTAACCTTGGCTTCCCATCTCAGACTGAGCAGATGGATCACCCAAAACTCCAAGCATATCCTATGACAAGCTCCTACTCAAAAAGTTGTCCAGGTGTTTCTTTAGCAAAACACGGAATGATTGTGAGAAACGCAGACAGTTCATTTTCAAAAACAAGAAATGATTCTCCTTGATGTTAGAAGGACCAATAAGAGCTAAATACATTCTGAAAATATTTCTCCTCAAAACGTTTTCCCTGATATGGTTTTAGTCATATGGATTTATATAGGAAGATACAGTCTCGGGATAACCTTAATAAGGTTTTGCTGAATTAACTTGACAGTATATCCAGTAGAAGAGCAGAGGCTTTCAAGTTTAAAAAAGTTAAGTTCAAATCCCAGGTCTACCTCTTAGTAGCTGTGTGACCTTGAGCACATTATGTGAACCTCAACGCCTTCACCTGTAAATGAGGAATAATAATAGTTTTTTTAAGAGCTATTAAAAAGAAATTATAAACCAGGAGTTCCTGGGTGGCTCAGTCAGTTGATAATCTGACTTCGGCTAAGGTCATGATCTCACGGTTACTGGATTCGAGTCCCGCATCGGGCTCTGTGCTGACAGCCAGCTCAGAGCCTGGAGACTGTTTCAGATTCTGTGTCTCCGTCTCTCTCTGACCCTCCCCTGCTCATGGTGTCTCTCTCTCTCAGAAATTAAAAAAAACAAAAATTAACAAAATTAAACTGATGAATGTAAATCTGTGGAAGAGCTATATGCTTCTTATCTTTCCAGATAAGTTCGTGAGTTCGAGTTCTGCATTGGGCTCTATGCTGACAGCTTGGAGCCTAGAGCCTGCTTCGGATTCTGTGTCTCCCTCTCTCTCTGCCCCTCCTCTGCTCGTGCTCTGTCTCTATCTCTCAAAAATAAATAAACATTAAAAAAACAGAAAGGAAGTTATAAACTAATAATGAGCCTATTTTGAGAATGTTAAGGTTGTTTTGTTGTTAGTGAGAATTAAAAGTGTTCTGCACAGGGGCTAGAACCAGTTAATACACTCAGTAAATCTTACCATCATGTGTGATCTCCACAGACCCAGCAGAGGGCCTAGCATGTAGCCAGTGCTCAGCAAATACCCACTGGGAGAAAAATGCATTCATTAAATTTGCCTCATATTTCATCCAGTGACCAAAGAAAGCCCTTTGCAAAAATAAACAATGTCTAGGGGGTTCCTGCTATATACCAGACAATGTTAAGTGCTCTCTATCTGCTAATTTAATCAGTTCAGCAATCTATCTTAGAGAAAAGAAACTGAGGCACAGGAAAGTTAAGTAACTCGCCTAAGGTCACAAGCCAATGTGATAGAGCAGGGATTCAATCCCTGGCACTGGCCTCTGGTATCCAGCCTCACAGATTAGCCTCCAGTGGCAGATGAAATAAAATGAGTACAAAGGAAGAAATAAATTTTGAGAACAAGTAAACAGATTTTCAGCAAAAAAAATCCCAAAAAACAAACAAACAAAAACCATTGAAAGTCTTTTGTGTTGGGTACCTCTTCTAGAGTAGAGTTATGGTTGGCAACACTTTTAAATTCATCCCAAAATAATTTTTTTAGCTTGTCTATTTCCTCATATAGTATGGCCCGCTCTTTTTCTTTCCATTCATCAAATTCTTTCTTAGCATCTATTTCCTTCTGACGAGCAATTTCTGCTTCCTGGAAAGAAAAGCAGGAACAAGAGAATCACTAACTCCACGTTATGGCCAATATTTACTGAGAAACTGCTAGGGCCCCTTGTCTGTGCAAGTCACTCTGGAGACCCAAAGAACATTCATCCCACATTGTTTGGACATGGAGTGGGACAAGTCTTATGTGAACTGTAAAGTCCCTCGACGATAGAGACCCTGCCTTGTCTCTCTCTGTGTTCTGGCATAGTTGGTGCTCAATAAATGGATGCTGAGGAAATGAATGTAGAATGAAGAAATGAAGGAATGAGTTCACATATTTTCATTCTACAATTATCTACTAAGTACGTCCTCGGGACTGGACTTTGGAGTTTATCCAATCTCTGTTCTCAAAAAGCCAACCAGCAGTGTAGTGTAAGAAGTTAACATTCAGGTTGAAATGCCTGCAGAGGGTGCTGAATAATGCAGGACACAGCAATTCTCTCCTCTACTTTTGGCCATACAGATCTGGAAATATAATTGAATTTTCCTTTGCAGACGACCTAAGATCATTTGCCACAACCTGGAAGATGCCATCCTAGCTCTGACTCCCAGCTCCGGGAAACCAGCCAGACTTCTGGTGCTGTGGGACACCCGTGCGTCAGGGGTCTCCCTGGCGTTTCCTCTCTGTGCCCACCTGTAGCTGCCGGTGTCTCTCGGCCTCCCTCTGGGCTTCTAGCTCCCCTTGGGTCCATTTCAGCTTGGCCTGGAGCTCCTCCAGTATCTCTTCCACTGGCTGTTCCTGCTTCTTCTGCTTCCCTGTGGGCTCCATGCAAAGACAGGGTGAACAGGTTAAGTCAGAAATTTAGCGGCGTGCAGTTCCTTGCCTATGCCATCTGTCACCCCTCAGTCTGAGACTGCTTTGCCACTCCCATTGGACACTGACCACGGACAAATGACATAACCTCCCTGACCCTCCGTTTCCCCAAGTTGGAAAATGTAGATAATAAAAGCACCTAACTCAGAGGGTTATCGTGAGGATGAAAGGTGACAGTGCAAAGTGCTTAGCATAGTCCCCGGCATGACTGCTCAATAAATGTGAACTATGACTGTCGTTGAAAATAACTATTTTGGCAATACTAACACACAAATGTAAATGCAAAATTGGTAGAGTAACAGAAGCAGAATACCAAATAGCATGTACACAGTGATTATTGATACAAAAAACGTATCTATGTATCCTCACAGCCATCAGAGAGGAGTTTGAAGCAGTGAAAATAATTGTAGTTTTAAGTTCCCTTTTTTTCAGAAATATAATATACTATGAAGTTTCAAACGAAAAGAAAAAGAAGTGTACATTATGAAGAACACTTTCAGCCAAAGTTTTTTAAGTGTAAACTTTAAACTTTCTAAGATTAAAAAAAGAATGAATTATAAAAGAACATTCTAACCAAACCACATATAGATAAACCAAGAGTTACAGGTTAATGAAAAAGACACCAATTATACTTGAACAGTTGCTATTATTTATTTTTTGAGAGAGAGAAGCGGGGCTCGCAGATATGTGGGGCTCGAGCTCACCAACCTTGAGATCATGACCTGAGCCAAAGTCAGATGCCTAAGGGACTGAGCCACCCAGGTGCCCCCACATTTGTTACTTTTTGAAGTACCTTTAGTGACTGTTAGATAGATGGTGCTGTTATTAAAGCTCTAAGCCTTTCTTTGAAAAGAGAGATGGTTTTTCTCAGACTGGACTTTTTGCAAAGAGCAATTTTAGACACAGTAGAAATTAATTTGGGTTAACAAAGCGATTTAGGATGATATGAAATAGGAGAGTAGAGGTATTTGAAGAGCCAGCTGCCTGAGAATAAAAAGGTCATGAATATTAATTTAGCAAAAGTGGCCTTAAGAACATATTTTCCCTCTCCTTAAGCACTTAACCTTAAGAAAATAATAAGGAATATGCCCAAAGATTTGCATATAAGAATGTTGATCATCATATGATTTATAACAGGAAAATCTATAAGTAACCCCTATAAAGTAGGAAATCATGAAATAAATTATGATAACTGCATTATGAGATACTATTTAGCCATTAAAAATCATGTTCTCCAAGATGATTGAATGACATTGGAAAATGTGATATATTCTTAACTGAAAATAAGCAATAGTCACAGCTGCATACTATATGATTATATATGTACACAGAAAAATAATAAAAGACAACACACCAAAAAATTAACTAGGTGATATTGTTGATGGTTTTTATTTTCTCTTTTCTACTTTTCTGTATTTAAATTTTCCAGGTTAAAGGCATTTTGTCCAATTCTTTTATTGTGGTAAAATACACATAACATAAAATGTAGCATCTTAGCCATTTTTTTAAAGATTTAATTAGAGAGAGAATGTGCCTGAGCAGGGGGAGAGAGGCAGAAGGATAGAGAGAGAGAATCTCAAGCAGACTCCATGCCCAGCGCAGAGCCCGACGTGGGGCATGATCCCAAGACCCTGGGATCACAACCTGAGACGAAATCAAGAGTTGGAAACTCAACAACTAAGTCCCACATGTTAACCATTTTCAAATGTACAGTTCGGTGGTATTAAATACATTTATAATGTGATGTAACCATCACCACCATCCACTTCTGTAACTTTTTTCTTCTTGTAAAATAAAAACTCTGTATGCTTTAAATAACTTCCCATGGTCCCCCTACCCCCAGCCCCTGGCAACCACCATTCTACTTTCTGTTTGTATGAATGTGACCACTCTAGATACTACATAGAAGTGGAATCATACAGTATTTGTCTTTTTATGGCTGACTTACTTCACTTAGCATAATATCTTCAAGGTTCATTCCTATTGTAACATATTACAGAATTTCCTTTCTTCTTAAGGCTGAATAATATTCCCTTGCTTGCATACACCACATTTTCCTTATCAATTCATCTGTGCATGGACATTTAGTTTGAGTGCTTCTGCATCTCAGCTACTGTGAATAATGCTGCTATGTACATCAGTATACAAATGTCTCTTCAAAGACCTACCTTTTTATCAGAAAACTTCATTTAAGAAGTAGAAAATCTGTTTTCCCTTAGCAGCCTCCAATGTAAAATCAAAAATAATTAGATATCTAATAAATGCATAGCAACTAGGTAAATGGTGCTGTTTTAAAACTCTATGGGGCACCTGGGTCGCTCAGTCGGTTAAGCGTCCGACTTTGGCTCAGGTCATGATCTCACGGTTTGAGTTCAAGCCGCATGTCGGACTCTATGCTGACAGCTCAGAGCCTGGAGCCTGCTTCAGACTCTGTGACTCCCTCTCTCTCTGCCCCTCTCCCACTCACTCTGTCTCTCAAAAAATAAATAAACATTAAAAAATGTTTTAAAAATACCCTAAGTCTGCTCTTTGGAAAGGAAATGAAAATGAAGAAAAATAAGAAACAGGTTTTATTTAATGGCATATTTTTTAGATTTATGTTATGTGATTTATATTTTCACATCTGTATTTATTTTATTTGTTAGCAGCTATTTCTTATGGAACCTTAAAAATGGATATAAAGTATGCAAATCTCTTTATGGGAAAACATACAGTCTTTATACTCCTTTTGGATTTGAAATGGTAAAATTAAAGTGATTAAGTCATAATAAGCTCATGTACATACAAAAAGTCAAAGAACCAGTCTAACTGCTCATTAACCCCACTGAAGGTCATTCATGGTTAGCATCAGAGAAGAGCAGATTCACAGAAGGCTGAGAGATAAGGACCCTCCAAAGTCACCCCATCTGACTGCCCCATTCACAGCAAAGGCCACTGACACTCAAGGGGAGGGGCACAGACTGTGGTCACATAGTAGAAAGGGATAAAGCTAACAATGGAACCCAGCTGTCTGACTCCCTTTTTCTCTACACACATTGTCAGAAACCCTCCCAGGCCTATGTGGGATGGATCTCCCCAGTGTGGACGGCGGGATCACCACCTCCTCTACTGGATGATGAGGCCTGAGGGCAGCTGTGGTGGTGTATGTGCCCCGCACTCACTGAAGACCAGCCCAGGCCCTTCCACCGTCCCAGGAGGGCCACCTACACTCACCACCTTCCGTCATGCCCGCATGCCTGCGCTGGATGTGGCCCCGGAGAAAGGTGGCATTCATGAACGTCTTGTCACACAGGTGGCACTGCACAGAAGAGAAACAGTGGGAAGTGCGGGATTAGATCACCTGGCTCAGCCTGGGGTTCTCCCAAGATCCAAATCCCCATCTCTTTGGGATCCCTGGGCTGCTTCAGAAATGAAGAATTTGATTTGAATACTACCAGTGCCCTAGGGAGCAGTGAGTGCTGCCTGGGTATTTGATTTATACTGAGGAGTTTTTGTTGGTTTTTCACAGGCGTGATGATGGTCTTGTGTTTATGTTTAAAGTCGGAGTCCTCGCCTTTTAGAGATCCATACTGAAACAGTTAGAGATGACACCATATGCCTAACACACCTGAAAGTAATGCAGGGCTGGGGGAAGTGGGTAGGGGAACATGCGCAGAAGCACTGGCCATGGTTGACAATGACTGGGCTGGGTAGTGCAAAAATGAAGGCTCATTACCATACTCTCTCTTTGGTACATGTTTACATTTTTTCACAATAAAAAGTTTAAAAAAACAAACAAACAATGCCCAGGTCCCACCCCAGAGTGGAGAACCACCAGAGCATAGGATAGCAAATAATAGTATCTCTAACTCCACTACACTCTCCTCAAGCATTTCAGACACTGCCAATCCATCACATTGTGTGTTCACTGCAAAACTTAAAAATTTTTCCAACACAACTTTGCAGGCTGCCAATCCTACTCAATCAGACTCAGAGGGCAGAATATTTGCTAAATTTACACAAACGAGATGGAAATTGTCGGTTGCCCCCAATAACTTGCCCCTTTCTCCTTAGTTCTAGAAACCCTGATTTTTAGCCGGTCATGAGGTTAATGAGAATAAACACTATATGTCCAAGCCTCCCTTGCAACCAGGTGCAGCCATGTGACTGCATTCTGGCCAATGACATGTAAGCAGAAGTGATATATGCAACTTCTAGAAGGTGTCATCCAAGGGTCATGATAGTACAATAACCACTTTTTCCTCTGAGAACAGAACCCCAGTTTTCTCCTGGGGAATTACCCTGTCCTTTACTCTCCATCCATGGACTTTGGTCCATCCCCTGCTCCATGGTGGGACCTGTGACCTAGACAAAGCCAGTTACAACCTTGATTTCCCAGGAACCTGTGAGTGGTCCCAAAATGGGTAGGAGACCCAAACACAGCTAAACACAGGAGACAGTGAAATACTCGCCAGGTTTCCGGGACCAAAGTAGGCCCTCCATCACTCCAGCCTTGAACCTGTGAAAATCAGATGCTGGCATTGCTGTGGCCCAACTTGCTGCCACACAGATAGCATCTTCCTAAGAATGGAACCCACACTGAGGAAGAGTCACCAAGAGCTGCAGAGAGACAAACTAAATTCTAGTGCCACCATCTGATTCCTAGGACAAGCCACCCCTGAGTCCCACCGTGGCTCTGGATTTTTCAGTTAAATTAACCAAAATTCCTTACTGGCCTAAGCCAAATTAGACTGGTGTTTTATCGTTTACTACTGAAGAGATTCTGACCCTTTTGATCGTAATTAACATTACATCAGTTATATCAATTACCCATTCAATCAATTAACATTGTACCATACGATTCCTTCTGTCCCATACCCACTCCTAAACTACAAATTTCTTGAAAACCTGAATGAGCAGGACTTGTGCCTGCATCCTAAGAACAGGGCCTGGCCACCATGACAATTGATCAAACTGCAGCTGTCCCCAGGCCACACTTTCCATGCAGGTGCAAATGTTCAAATGCCACTCTGGATAATGAACCATCACTTGGTTGAACGACGGGGTCACTTTTCCAGAATGGGCCTGGTAGTATCAGTCCATTGCTACACACCAATTCTACAGACACACACACCTCTTACATACACCGTTTAATATCACATTGCTACATGCACCCACAAACCCTTCAAACACACATTCTTGCCCTCCATAAATACATACACCTTTACACACACACAAGTCCTTCATTCATTCACACACAGCATAAATACATCTTTATATGCACACTTTCACACACAAGCACTTTACACATCACATACTCTACATACATATACACACATACCATGCACAGATGCTTGCTCCAAACATTCACATGTGAGACACACATATTCACACTGTTCTTAAATACTATCCTCCACACATTCACACATGCACATCCTGGACATGCACCCTCTCCATAAGCACACATGCAAACACATCCTTCATATGCACACTTGCCACACAATACAATCTACAATCTACACACACACACACACACACACACGCGCGCACGCGCGCACTGTGCAGAACTTGATGAGATATCTCTACCATCTGCTTCTAACCTCAGTATGCACGGCCCCCAGCAACCCCAGGGTCCAGGGCAGTGGTACTGCCCAAGTGGCCCAAGTGGCTGGGTGGCCTCCTGTCTCCCACCCTGCAGCCACTCCTCACCGTGTGGTAGCCATGGGCCCCCGTCTGCAGGAGCAGCTGCTGCAAGGTGCCGATCATCTTGCGACGCCGGCGGCTCTCCTCCCGCACGCCCTTGAGCTCGTCGGCCTGGCGACCCAGCTCCTGCTGGCCTCGCTGCTGCTGGCCCAGGCTGGCCTGCAGCCGTGCCTCAAGCTGGGCGACGCTGGCACTCAGGCAGTCCTGGCAGTGTAGCAGGTACTCGATGGTGAGCTGAGCCAAGCGCAGCACCTTGAGCAGCACCGGGTCCACAGGCTGTCCGCAGCGGCTGCACGCCTCCCGGTCCAAATTGCAGAAGGTGACACTAGTGATGTTCTCCTGCAGCGTGGCCACATCCAGCTCCCGTGCCACGCGCTCCACATCCAGGGCGCTGATGCGCCTCCAGTCCACACTCTCAGAGCGAGGCTGGAACTTGAAGGTAGGGAGTGGGTAGGCCCCAAAGTGGGGGCTACCCTCGGCAAAGGTAGCAGGGGACTGCATGGGCTGGGGGAGCCCTGGGCTGACCACCGAGGGGGGGTGCCACCAAGGCCACGGCAGCAAGCAAACGAGTTGAGAGAGGGCCTGGAAAGTGAGGAGAGTCCAAGTTAGGCAAAATGCATGTGGCCACGTGTACTGTACCCCTGGCCAGCAAGAGCCTAAGTGGGGTGAGGTGAGGGACGTGTGCAACATCTGTACTATGCCTGGATGCTCAGGCATGGCAGGAGCTGGGTAAGGCGAGGGTGTGGGCTTTATAATCACACCGAGGTGGATTCAAATCGCAGATTCCCATCCTGAAGCCTTCTGTGTCCAATGGGGAGCAGGGATTTACTTTTCAGGTTTGTAATGAAGATTGGGGCATTGAGTCCCCTCCACCGTGCCCCGTGCCCAAATCCACTGCAAGAGTGCCTGCCAGGCATCTTTGTCAAAGGGAGCTGTCAAGTGTCTAAGTGGTCCTTCTGCAACCCAAACTGATCTCAGGATCAAGTCCAATAACTTGCCGTGGGAGGCAGAGCCACTCACCTTGACTGCATCCTATCCTCCCACCTGTAATTACAAGATTATAGCAGAACAGGAGTAGACTACATCTCCCAGGGGCCCCAGCTGCAAAGTGTGACCCTATGACTATGCTCTCCTGGTAGGATGTGAGTAAAATGATGGGGATGCTTGATACGGCAGCCATGTCTCTGCACACAGATTGTGCTCAATCCATTGTGGTCTTTTTTTCAAACCTAGTTTGAGAAGAGGCCCAACATGTCGTCGAAAGACTCAGATTCTCCTCTCCACTCTCTAGGTAGTCACAGAAATTGTTCTCTCTCTTTAAAGAGTAACCCGACAGTAGCAATAGGTTTTTAAAATGAAAATTCCACTAAGAATTATACTTTGTCCTACAGATAAACTTATACAAGTGTGCAAAGGTGTTTGTGCAAAGCCCGTCACTGTTGTGTTGTTTGTAACAGCAAAGTACAAGAAAAAATATAAGAAAGTGAAGTACAAAGTACAATAGTGGATACAAATGGTATCTCTGTACAACGAAATACTATGTAGGTATTGATAAGAATAAGGCAACTTATTAGGTGGCTCAGTCGGTTAAGCATCGGACTCTTGATTTCAGCTCAGGTTATGATCTCATGGCTCCTGAGATGGAGCCCCATGTTGGGCTCTGTACTGACAGTGCAGAGCCTGCCTGGAATTCTCTGTCTTCCTTTCTTTCTGCCCCTCCCCTGCTCACATGTGCATGCTCTCTCTCAAAGTAAATAAATAAACATTAAAAAAAAATAATAAGGCTACTATTCATGCACTGATATAGAATAATGAGCGTGTATACATATATATACACACAGAGAGAGATTTCCATATCTGTTTGAATGATAATATAATCACATCTAATAATAATTTGCAAAAATGAAGATATGTATGTATCACTTCTGTAACTGCCTATATCTATTCTATATACCTATATATCTATATTCTATATCTCACATTAGAATGGTTGCCTGTACAGGAGGAGGGAAACGGGGTGCGAAGCAGGGATAAATAAATAAATAGGTGGACATTGCATCAACAGGAGATGGATAGACAGGGAAGCCTTACACAGACCAATAGTGATAATGTTACATATAAAATATATATGCATGTACATACACATACATGAATGATTCAAATTCATTACTCATATATAATAATAACTAAATAAAATATACTAATTTATTATTCCTATATATGATTCATTATCTCCAACATTTTGTAAGCATAGACTATGGTATTTCTATAAACATAAACAAGCTGTGAGCAATGGTTGCCTCTGGGATTGGAATGGAACCTGGAGACTGATTTTCCCCTCCCCACCTTTCCATACTATTCAAATTTCTTTACATCATCATCTATTACTTTCATAATTTTTATTTAAAAAATACAACTTCCGCCCTTGAACTCTGAATCTGACCAGGGGAACAAGGAGTACAGGTGACCCTATTTAACAAGTTCTTTCTAGATCAGACTTCTCAGCACAAGATGAAGTCAGAGAAGTCACTGACCTCACGAAGGAGAAAGGCCTTGAAGAAATGGTGGGGCTGAGTTTGCAAAGTGGGAAAGGGCCTTTCCTGACCTCCCTGAGCCTTCACCTGAGAAAGACAGGTGAAGGCTCATAGGGTCCTTGAGATTCGGAGGAGGTGCAAGGCGAAGGTACTCAGTAATGTCCCAGCCCCAGAGCATCGAGTGCCACACACAAACTGTGTAAACACAAATTTACGAAGAGGTATCACTATTCCCATTTTACAAACAAGGAAACTGGTATCTAGAGAAGGTAGGAGTCTTGTCCCAGGTTGGGAGGCCAGACTCGAAGTACAGCTGGAGGTGCATCTGGTTCCAAAGCTTGTGAACTCTGAACACTGATTCTTGAAGCTATCTGTCCTGAAACTTCGCTTTGATCAGATCATGACCCCTTATGCCTCAAACTCCTTCATTCATTCACTCATCCCCCTTCTCATTCACAGCTTGCCTACTTGAGCCAGGCCTAGTGCCTGGCACTGACTGGGGCTACTGAGGTATATAAACTACACACCTGCCCTCTACCCAGGAGCTCAGCGTGGCCCCTTGTTGCCACAGTACAGTGTCCAAACCCCTTAGCCTGGCCTTGAAGACCATCCACAGGCTGCCACTGACCCCCCTTTTCCACTTCAGTTCCATGCTTCCCTTTCTCAGATACCCCTCCCCCAAATATACTCCAAAACCAAAACTATCCAGCCACGTGCACCCCCATCACGGCCATGAGAAGAAGATCAGCCCATTTCTACTTAACGTGTTGCACTACTTTAAAAAAAAAAAAAAAAAGGGAGACAGGAGACATGATACCTACCATTCTCAGCTCCAAGCTGCCACTGTGTCACTGGAGCCCCAGGAATCATTGCCACAACAAGCTACGCCTCGGAGCAACAGAAGGTTACCAGGCATGCTGCGGGGTAACAGGATACCTGCTTCCTGTCCTTCCCGTCTAGGAGCTCACCTAGAACTCAGCGTGTAACTATAAAAGTTTTAGCCTCAGAGGTTTGCCCACACTCTTCTCTCTAAGATTAAGGCCAAGAAAGCACCATCAGCAACTCTCTCACTTCTCCTACCTCTTTGAATGTTCCGTCCAGCCTCTTTCTGGAACAGTTACTATCATTTTACCCTTCCTTCAATGTGGGGGGAGAGTTGGGGGGGACAATGCCCCCATGAACTCTGCTGTTCATTCACAACCCATCCCTCCTTGCACACTCTTCCAGAAGAGGAACTGACACATAACCACAGCGTCAGCTACCGAAGGCTTACTTTAGGCTGAGCCTCAGCCACTCCCAAATCTATTTCTCGCTGTCTCATCTCTCTCAGGACCTTCAGATCTGGCCTTCCAATAATGACTATACCAGAAATTGCAAATCCAAACTCCCCCAGGGCCATGACAACTGATTCCCTACCTTAGTGTCCAAGATATAATTAGGCAGCAGTTCACAAAGTGTGGTCCCTACCAGCAGCAGCAGCAGCAGCAGCTGGGAACTTGTTAGAAATGCAAACCTCTCAGGGCGCCTGGGTGGCTTAGTCGGTTAAGCATCCGACTTTCGCTTAGGTCATGATCTCACGGTTCGTGGGTTCGAGCCCCGCGTCAAGCTCTGTGCTGACTGCCAGCTCAGAGCTTGGAGCCTGTTTCAGTCTGTGACTCCCTCTCTCTCTGACCCTCCCCTGCTCACGCTGTCTCTCTCTCTCTCTCCTAGAAATGAATAAAACATTAAAAACAATTAAAAAAAAAAAAAGAAATGCAAACCTCTAGGTTTATTGATTCAGAACAACTGTGCTAGAGAGTGTTGGGGACTGAGGCAAAATGTGTGCATGCCCTTTAAAAGGGGCAGCTCGCCTGGTGCCTCAATTGGTTGAGCGACCAACTCTTGATTTCAGCTCAGGCCATGATCCCAGGGTCATGGGATTGAGCCCCACATCAAGCTCTGTGCTAAGCCTGGAGCCTGCTTGAGACTCTCCTTCACTCCTCTCTCTCTCTTTCTCTCTCTCTCCCTATTTGTGCTCTCTCTCTTTAAAATAAAAAATAATAAAATAAGATATTAAAAGGGGCAGCCATCACTGGGCTTTGGCCATATGGAAATGGATTTTATGCATCCTTCATTGGCTAATTCTAAATTCTAATACCTAAAAAGATATTCAAAGATCTTTATGGGGGCGCTAGGGTAGCTCAGTCGGTTAAGTGTCCGACTTCAGCTCATGATCTCATGATTCGTGGGTTCAAGCCCCACATCGGGCTCTATGTTGACAGCTCAGAGCCTGTGTCTCTTCCTCTCTCTGCCCCTCTCATGCTCATGCTCTGTCTCTCTCTGTCTCTCAATAATAAATAAACATTTAAAAACTTTTTAAAAAGATCTTTATGAGCTGTTTTCAAACTACCTTTCTAGCTGCATCTCCCACTTACTATATTACTTGCTGTCCACACATTCATACCTCTGGGATACTTATTTATAGGCACTGTTTTTAAGTGCTTTATAAAGAATAACTCATGTAGGGGCACCTGGATGGCTCAGTTGGTTAAGTGGCCGGCTCCTAATTTGGGGTCAGGTCATGATTTCACAGTTTGTGAGATCGAGCCCCATGACGCTGCGCTGGTAGTGCAGAGCCTGCTTGCAATTCTGCCCCTCGCCTGCTTGTGCTTGCGTTTGCACTCTGTCTCCCTCTCTCAAAATAAATAAATAAGTGAGAGACTCTTGAATGCTGACAAAAACTGAGGACTGATGGATGTGGGGGGGAGGGGGGGATGGGCATAGAGGAGGACACTTATGGGGATGAGCACTGAGTGTTATGTGGAAACTAATTTGACAATAAACTATTTGTAAAATAAATAAATAAATAAATAAGCAAGCATTTAAAAAAGAATAACTCATGTAATCCTCAGAACAAGCCCTCAAGGAGGTACTAATATTATGCAAACCACAAAGAAGTAAAGAAGTTTGTCCCAGACGTAGGAGGCAAGATCCAGACCCATGCAGCCTGGTTAGAGTCTGACCTCTTAGCCACTATGCCATGCTGCCTATTGGTAGAGATGGACCTCCACCACTTCCTCCTGCTCCTACTGCACATGAATGAATGGATGCTTCAAGACCTTCCTCACACCTGACAGCCACCATAAATCCTTCCCAGGCTCAGTCAGAAAGCCCTGCCCTCCCCTGGGCTCCCAGAATCGCGTATACACTCCTCTGAGCACCTCACCATACTCCAGTCTGTACTGGTGTGACTATGCAGCATCCATCATCAACAAATGACTCCTAAGCCCCTACTAAGTGCCAGGCACTACGACTGGCACTCAGAATTGATGGTGACCCAGGCAATACTCCCTGCTGTTGTTAATAAAACTAGTTAACAGTTCTGGAATTGTGTGCTCCACACAGAGTTGTAAGGCATGCCAGGCCCTACCCCACTTAGTTCTCATTACAACCCAGGGTACAGAGGAAGAAAATTAAATGTGACCCAAGAAGGCAGAACGACTTTCCTACAGTCACACGACTAGTAAACGATGGTGTCTGGCTCCAGAGTTCTCCAGAATGAGAGAAAAATACACAGAAATTACCCTACAGACTGATAAGTGCCAGGGTAGGAGCTACATGGTGCAGTGGGTGTACCAAAGAGAGGCCATACCAGGACATTCCTGTCTCCCTCCCCCCGCCATTCTCCCTCAGCTATAAGTTCCCCCAGGGATGAGGCCATGGCTTATCCATATCTGTTCTGTTCTAACCCCTAGCATATTACTTGTACTCCAGGTTGCCATTCACCTGAGCAGAAGGGTCAGTGTTTCTGTGTACCAGGCACTGTGCTAGCCTTGCTATTTCTAGCCATCATACAACCTTGTATGTAGCTCTCATTTGCCTCATCTGACAAATGTAGAAACTGAGGCTCAGAAAAGCTAAGACACCTGCCCCCAAGTCACTCAACTGCTAAGTAACGAACCCAAAATTTAAACCAGGTTCTGACTCCAAAGCTTTGGAATTATGTCAGGCTACCTCCTGCTGATGATGATGGTGACACACAGATTACTTCTCATCATGGAAATGACACTACCTGAGATCTCTTGTCCAATCTCCAAGAACGGAAAGATTTTACAGGAACTCACAACAGGATCGGTGCCGGAGACCCAAAATTCTCTCTGTATCTCCACAGAGCGTAGCTGAACACGACTCAACTCCACAGCTTGTGTCCAGGTTGGGATGCCAGGAGACAAAGCCAAATGAGAGTACTGCAGGTTACCTGGAAACCACGTACCCCCATGGGCAGGAAAGCAGCGCTCTCTCCAGACTGAGTTCTCAGCACACTGCTTTCCCCACATCTGGGAACAGAAACACAAGGCAGAAATGACTCGCCATCATTAGGAAATCCAAGGCCGTGCTAACCATCTCTAGATGTTTTGATGGGGTCCCAGGAAACTTCCCAATCCTAGATCAATGTCATGAATGAGTGGACCCCAAAGAACGCTATTTATCCTAGCATTCCAAGGTTGCTTCATTACTGAAGAGATGGTTTATACCTGGGGCAATCCCACAGCCAAGAAAACAAGCTTTCTTGCCTTACACACCCACAGTGATGAGGGGTTCACCACCTCACGAAGAAGTCCTCCCACAGCGAACCAACTCCTGGAGACTTTACCGTTCCTCTGAAACCTGCTCCTCTATAATCTGTCAAAGATAACTTGCACAAAATCAATCAAATGGCTGATAATGTTACTATAAATTGACGGCTAGACTATACCACCTCCTCTGCCACCTTACTGTCTCTTGTGCTCCCTCAAGTATGCAGCCAAAAGGAGCTGTTAGAGGAGTCAAGCTACCAAGGCGGCTGCCAGGCAATCGTTTCCAAACCTGCCCTGGCTCCAGAGCCACCTTCAGCCGGAGGCGGAGGCGCCCTGGGAGCCCGGGCATGTCATTAGTGCTAATTGTTGTAGCTGCCAAGGAAACCTTCCCAGTTTGCAAACAAGCCAGGCTCACACCAGAGGCAAGGGAGCCCTAGGGATCCCAAAGAAGACTGGGGTGACTCAAGAGCTCTTCTGGAACACTATCATTACACATCTTACTTACTCCCTGATTCAGTTGTTTTCTAAAGAAAGGTGTACCCTTGCCACTCCTTCATGCCCTTCATGGGGGCTGTATTTACTCCCAGAACCATCAAGTAGCACACAGCTCTCCCTTACAGCTGGCTTCCCTTCCCACTAACTTTAAGGAAGTATTTTTCTTTCTTCATTTTTTAGTTTAGTTGACGCACAATGTTACATTAGTTTCAGGTGTACAACCTAGTGATTTGTCAAGTTTATCCATTATGCTATGTTCACAAGCATAGCTTCTATCTGTCCCATTACATCGCTACTACACTATCACTGACTGTACCCCTTATGCTCTGCTTTTTATTCCGGTGACTTACTCTGTAACTGGTAGCCTGTATTTCTCTGTAAGGAGGCATTTTTAAAAAATAGTACCAATGGTTTTCTCAAGAGCCTCTTTTAGGTTTTTGCCACAAAAGAATTTTCTTTAAAATAAAAATTGGGAAGGGCACCTGGGTTAAGCACCGGACTTCAGCTCAGGTCATAATCCCGAGGTTCGTGGGTTTGAGCTCTGTGTCGGGCTCTGTGCTGACAGCTCAGGCTGGAGCCTGTTTCAGATACTGTCTCCCTCTCTCTCTGTCCCTAACCTGCTCACAGTCTCTCTCTCTCTCAAAAATAAATGAACATGAAAAAAATTTTTAATAAAGTCAAATAAAAATTGGGGCAAGGGCTTTAACTGTCATTGCTTAGGAGAATTTTAGAGGGGAAGACTACAAATTGACATGACCTATCTTCCTGGGTGCGGAATTGTCAAAAATCACTACTGCTTTTTACATCCAAAAGAATACCAGTTTCGAATAATATACTGGTGCTTTCTTTCCCATAGAGGAGTCGCTGCTTCTTAGTAGGTTTTCTATTCCTTCAGGCATCAGAGCCTCACTGAATCCCCTCCTAGAGGTACAAAGGCCTCACTGGTATTGCAGGTAGTTAACCTTAACCCTGCTAACCAAGACAGGCCCTTTCCAAAAGGGGGCTGCAAGGAAATTCAGAACAGCCCACCAAGTTGCCCCTTCCCTGCTCCTGTCTGTGTCTACTGAGCCACAGGCCTTTTGACCAAACTTCAGCTCTGTGGAAGAAGCGTTACATTCCACAAAGGAATTCAGGATCCGGTTCCCAACCTGAAGCATATACCTTAGTGAGACCATTTTATCAAGTTGGATGGTATCCAAAAGTATCTCCACATGATGAAGATGTCTCTAGACCCTCCTGCTGACAGAGACAAGGAAAAAAAAAAAGACTTTATCAACCACTTGACTGTAGGAGTGGCCTTCTCTAACTGGGGTTGTTCTCACTGGCGGGTCCTCAGCTCCAGGAGGCCAGGAGGAAGTGATGAGGGACCTTGACACAGGAGGAAGACCACTCGCTCTGTCTGCAGACGGAAGTATGAGAGGCCACAGTGAAAGCACCTCACTCACCAGGCTTCTCTTCCAAGTGCTATGCTGTTAGAAATTAAATTCCGGAAACAATGCAGGGGCAGGTAGGCGCCAGGCCCTTAGGAGTGCTGGGTGAAGGCGAGCCCCTGCTCAGGCCTTACGGACCCCCTTCTAGACCTTCGCTCCGTCCTATACAAGGCAAGTCTCCCCTGGACTTTATCTGCATGGACTTCAAAAGGAAAATACCATTGCTGTCTCCGGCTAATCTCCAGCCCCAGAGTGCAAGAGGGACAAACCAGAGATGCCAATGTTTGTTTTTAAATCACCTCATCACCAAAGGGTCCCCCTTTACCTGCAGAACTCAAAGCATCAAGCCCCCCAAGCCATTTTACTTTTTTTCAAAAAGTAGGCATCCAAGTCTGTCCATCCAGGGAAGCCCAGTCCTGGGGTGCAGTCATTCCTGCTTCCCTCCCGGGGTACCTCGGTCCCTGGCAGGCCGAGAGAGCTGGATTTGGGGGCCCGCGCGGGGCGCTGGAAGCGGCGGTCCAGAGGCTGATCCGCAGCTCCGCGGCCGGTCGATCCCCTGCAGGGCGTCGGAGCCGCTAATGTTTAACCTCCTGCAGTCCGCGGCACCCGCAGCTCGGACGGCGAGGGCGTTCTCCACCCGCGCCCCTCCCGGGCCGAATTCCTGCCATAGTTCTCCCACGCGGCCCCGCTCCCCTGGGGGCTGCCGGAGCGGGCTCCCCAGCTCGGCCCCCGCCCCGCCTCTCCCGGCTCGCTCCACCGCCCCAACCTCCCGGGGGCCGTTCCGGGAACGCCGGCCGCCGCGCCGGCCGGGGATGCTCCCCCAGCGTCGTGGAGCCCGGTCGCCCTCCCCGGCGGGGACAGAGCCAGCCGCCCACCCCAGCGCAGCCGACTTGCGGGCCCGCGGGCGAGAGAGCCTTCCGTACAGGCAGCCGGACGCCCCCGGGTCTCCCGACACCTTGAGCTCCCGGGACGTCCTCCCCACCCAACCCAGACAGGGGTGGAGCCTCTCCCGTTCCCCTCCCCCCCACCGGACGAGCTATTTTTAGGTTGCTACCGAGGAGGGAAGGAGGGAATGCCACGTTTAATCCGTTTGGAAAATCCGGGATCCTAGAGAAAGGCTCCCAGGCCTTACTGAGAGGGTGTCCGCGTGGAGCCCAGGGAGGCTGGATGTGCTCTAGTCTGCGCGCGCGCACACACACACACACACCCACCCACCCACCACCGAGAAAGGCTGGTCAGCTGGAAAGCTGGAGCAGTTGCAGAGCTAGTCCGTATGGCGAGCAACCCCCAACCTTCTCACCCCCAACCCCCAACCTTCTAGCTTGTCCTATGGATCCGCCTCTGAAACGCAGGACCCAAGAACTCTTTCTCCCCTGATATGGTCCCGGATCCCTAGCCAGTCTTTGCTTTACTGAGACTCAGATTTCTGGGATTTTTTTAAAGGCCTTCCTCTCGCTCCAGTCTCAATCTGCAAAAGTGTATGGGAACAAGTGTTGGCAAGGATGTGAGAAATTGGACCTCCCACCTCCCCGCCTTTCGTTACTGATGGGAATATAAAATGGTACTGCTGCTGTGAAAAAGAGAATGGCGATTCCCAAAGAATTGAAAATAAAATTACCTTATGATTGATCAATTTAATTTCTGGGTGTATACTCAAAAGAATTAAAACAGGGACTAAAACAGGTATTTGTACACTCTTGTTCATAACAGCATTATTCACAGTTCCAAAAGGTGTAAACAACTGAAGTGTCCATTAACATATAAATGGATAAACAAAATGTAGTACATACGTGCAATGAACTATTATTCAGTCTTAAAACATAATGAAGTACTATTACACGCCCCGTTATGAATGAACCTTGGCAATATGCTAGGTGAAATAAACCAGACACAAAAGCAGAAATGTTATGATTTCGTTTATATAAGGTAACTAGAATAATCAAATTCATAGAGATATGCAGAATAGAATAGTGGTTAGCAGGGGCTGGGACTAGGGTTGTAGGGAATAGAGACTTGTTGTTTAATGGGTACAGAGTTTCAGTCTGGGACGATGGAAAAGTTCTAGAGGTGGATAGCGGTGTTGGTTGAATGTACTTAATGCCACTGAATTGTACATTTGAAAATGGTTAAAATGGTAGATTTTATGGTGTGTGTGTGTGTGTGTGTGTGTGTATTTTTTTAACCACAATTTTTTAAATGTAAAAAAAAACAAACAAGAAACTGGCTGGCCAGGACCAAGACCAAGTAGGGATGTCTGTAAATCATCTAGTTTGATGGGGAATCTTGTTCCTCCTCTCCCTCCTGGCCAGGGCACACTTTTCACTCCAGGAATTCCTGCCACCTACTAGGGGAGAGAATTGCGTCTGGGCTTTAGAGTCAAAGACACATTAACATCCTAGAAGAGAGCACAGGCAATAACTTCTCTGACATCAGCTGTAGCAGCAGCATTTTTTCTAGATATGTCTACTATGAAAAGGGAAACAATTGAAAAAATAAACTATTGGGACTGCATCAAAATAAAAGCCTTCACAGTGAGAGAAACAATAAACAAAACTAAAAGGCAATCTACCAAGTAGAAAATATTTGCAAATGACATATCCAATAAAGGGTTAGTAACCAAATATATAAAGAACTGATAAACCTCAACACACATACAAACAAATCATCCAATTAAAAAATGGGCAGGCGAGGGGAGCCTGGGTGGCTTAGTCGGTTAAGCATCCGACTTTCGCTTAGGTCATGATCTCGCGGTTCATGGGTTCGAGCCCCGCGTCGGGCTCTGTGCTGACTGCCAGCTCAGAGCCTGGAGCCTATTTCGGAGTCTGTGACTCCCTCTCTCTCTGACCCTCCCCTGCTCACGCTGTCTCTCTCTCTGTCTCTCTCCTAGAAATAAATTAAAAAATTTTTAAAAAAATGGGCAGGTGATACCTGGGTGGCTCAGTTGGTTGAATGTTCAACTTTGACTCAGGTCATGATCTCACAATTCATGAGTTCAAGCCCTGCATCCAGCTCTCTGCTGCCAGTGCAAAGCCTGCTTTAGATCCTCTGTCCCCCCTGGGGTGCCTGGGTGGCTCAGTCGGTTAAGCGTCTGACTTTAGGTCAGGTCATGAACTCATGGTTCATGGGTTCGAGCCCCGTGTCAAGCTCTGTGCTGACAGCTCAGGGCCCGGAGCCTGCTTCAGATTCTGTGTCTCTTTCACTCTCTCTGCCCCTCCCCTACTCTTGCTCTGTCTCTGTCTCTCAAAAATGAATAAACGTTAAAAAAATTTATATAAAAAAAAGATCCTCTGTCTCCCTCTCTCTCTTCCTCTTGCCCACATTGTCTCTCTCTCTCAAAAATAAGTATTTAAAAAATTTTAAATAATAAAAATATAAAAACCAACAGGCGGCATAATAATTCTTTTTAAAAAATGGGCAGAAAACATCAACAGACATTTCTCCAAAGAAGACATACAGATGGCCAACAGACACGTGAAAAGATGCTCAAGGTCGCTTAACATAAGGGAAATGCAAATCAAAACTACAATGAGATACCATTGCACACCTGTCCAAATGTCTAAAATCAAACACAAGAAACAATAAGTGTTGGTGAAGATGTGGAGAAAAAGGAACTCTTGTGCACTATTGGTGGGAAGGCAAACTGGTGCAGCGACTCTGAAAAATGTATGGAGCTTCCTCAAAAAGTTAAAAATAGAACTACCCTATGATCCAGCAATCACACTACTGGGTGTTTACCAAAAAAACACAAAAACACTAGTTCAAAGGGATTTATGCACCTCTGTGTTTATTGCAGCATTATTTACAATAGCCAAATTAAAGAAGCAGCCCAAATGCCAACAATAGATGAATGGATAAAGAAGAGGTGGTAGACACACATACAACACACACACACACAATGGAATATTACTCAGCCATAGAAAAGAATGAAATCTTGCTATTTGCAACCTATTTGCAACAACATGGATGGAGCTAGAGAGTATAATGCCAAGCAAAATAAGTCAGTAAGAGAAAGACAAATACCATATGATTTCACTCATATGTGGAATTTAAGAAACAAAATAAGCTGGGGTGCCTGTGTGGCTCAGTTGGTTAAGCATCATGCTTCTAACTTAGGCTCAGGTCATGATCTCATGGTTCATAAGTTTGATCTCCACATTGGGCTTGCTGCTGTCAACATGGAGCCTGCTTTGGATCCTCTCTCCCTACTCTCTCTGCCCCTCCTCCTGCTCATTCTCTCTCTTTCTCTCAAAAAAAGAAAGAAACATTAAAAAACTAAACATAGGACACCCTATAAAAAATGAGAAACAAAACAAATGAGCAAAGGAAAAGAGAGAAAGAGAGGCAAACCAAGAAACTGTTAACTATAGAGAATAAACCGATGGTTACAAGAGAGGAGGGGGCTGAGCGATGGGTGAAATGGCTAATGGGACCCTTGTGATGAGCACTGGGTGATGTATGGAATTGTTGGATCACTGTATTGTACACCTGAAACTAATATAATATTGTGTGTTAACTATCCTGGAATTAAACATTTTAAAAGATGCATTTACATTTCCACATTCCCACACTATGTAACCCTGGGAAAGTCACTTAACCCTTCTGTAAAATGGGAAAAATAAGCTCTGTCTCGCAGGGTCATTATGAGAATCAATTAACTAAACCATCTCTAGGCTTGGTCTGGGGCCTGGCAGTCAGTGATGTGCCTTCTAGAGTTCAAACAAGTGTGAAGCCTGTGGGGGCTTGGAGAATTTGTTTCTCAGTTCTCTTCCCACTGTATCCCTGAAGTATGAGAAAGTAGCTCTGGCGGCCTCCACCTGTATTTGTATATATCATTTACACCAGCCTCAATTCCCCTTTGGGTAAATGAGGTACCCTCCTTTGCAGGGTTGTCCTGAGAAAGTGAACTTGACATACAGCCTCGTCTACCTTGTCAGCTGACCGAGACTTCCCATGCATGGAACCTTCACATCGTTCCTCTACTGGGCCACATTCCAATATTCAATATAGCCAAGAGATATTAAGTGCCTCCTATGTGCTCTATTCTAGGTTCTGAAGAATACAAAGAGGGTGGGATCTGAATGCCTACGGTTCTTATCTGACCCCATAGCCTCTCACCCCTTCCTCAGGCCAGCCTGACTCAGCAGAGATAACATCACAACTGGTCTCCTTCCTACCCTTAGCGCTGTGACAGGACACAGTGGTACAGACTGCTGACTGAAGGTGGACTTTAGACCCCAGGCAGCCCACAATAGGAGTGCTCTCTGCTGTCAACTGTTGGCATCACAGCTCAGAAGCCAGCTCCAGACCCAGCTCTAGCCTCCAGAGGGCATCTGAGGTTTATGGGACAGGTCTCCCAATGCCAGGATGCTGGCTGCAAATGGTAACTGAGGCAATTATAGGTCAAAAGTATATTGTTGAGTTTTCACAGTGTTGATGGGTGGATAGACTGGTTTATAGTCAAAGGGAGATTTTACATAAAAATCTGGTTTGCTGATTTCTCTTGAAAACTCTGAGGATCTGGCAAAAGCGACCTGCACTCTGACATGTCAAGAACTGGCTGGAGCTGAGGGCGGACCATATAGGCATGACCTATATTCTAGTGCATTCCCTGAAAAAAAAAATCACTTTAAAAGACACAGATGCACTTACAAAAGAGATCTCCTTTTTCAGGAAAAAACTGCTCCCTTCTACAAAATGAAAAATGCAGGGTCAGCCTAACCAGGACCCACTCTCTGAGTCTAAAAATAGATTCAAGGTATGGTGAGCTGGGATAAACTGAAAAAAATTACACTAAAATAATTAAATGTTTGTGTCCTTAATATACAAAGGGTGGTTATAAATCAATAAGAAATAGAAAGGGGCTCCTGGGTGGCTCAGTAGGTTAAGCATCTGACTTCAGCTCAGATCATGATCTCATAGTTCAAGGGTTCAAGCCCCACATGGTGCCCTGTTCTGACAGCTTAGAGCCTGGAGCCTGCTTCAGATTCTGTGTCTCCCTGTCTCTCTGCTCCTCCCCCACTTGCACTCTGTCTCTCTCCCTCTCAAAAATAAATAAAGATTAGGGCACCTGGGTGGCTCAATTGGTTAAGCATCCAACTTCAGCTCAGGTCATGACCTCACAGTTCATGGGTTGGAGCCCTGTGTTGCACAGAGCCTGGAGCCTACTTTGGATTCTGTGTCTCCCTCTCTCTCAGCCCCTCTCCCACTCGAACTCTGTCTCTCTCTTTTTCAAAAATAAAGAAACATTAAATAAAGAAACAAATAAATAAAGATTTTAAAAAATTTTTAAATAAGAAATAGAAAAACAACCCAATAGGAAAGTGGACAAAAGATATTTGACAATTCACAGAATAAGAAAATATATATTATTAAGCATGTGAAACACTAAACCTCACCAAAATTAATATGACAATTAAATACATTTTTAAAACTATGGTATAGTCAAAATTAAATAGATTTTTCGCATTGGTGAAAGATGGGAAAACGAGCAATTTCAAACAGCCTTTGAATTGGCACCACATCAAAATGTAAAATCCTTAGAAGTGCAGCAATTAGGCCTTTTGCAACAGCATTACATGCACCATTAAAATTAGAATCAACTTAAATATCCACCAGTTATTCATTAAATAGATTATGAGATGTCCTAAATTGAAGCACTCTGAAGCCATTATGAAGAACACAGTATGCTAATGAAAAGGCATCCAGGATACATACCGATGATGTGAAGAACAACTGACAGAATACTGTGTGCTATACAATTCCATTTATGTTTTTAAAAAAAACTATTCATATGAGAAATTCAGGGGTGATATTCAAAATATTTAACTACCTGACTTGCACAGGCACTAACCCTAGAGCTGGAAACTAGACAGCCTTCTGGGGCCAGTCTTAACCCTTTAATTGCTGTGTTGTAGGGGCTCTGGAGGGAAGAGTAAGGCAGACAAGGAGGAACTGGAAATACTTGGAAGGCTGGTGGCCAAGGCTTCCTACCACTAGCATGCTATCCATGCAGAGAAAAGGTGAGCAACGCATACCAAACCTGACAGTGGTGCAAGAGGCCCTTTGACACTTGACTCCATACAATCTTGTTGTTTGAAATTCTGAATGTGGGATTTGAAAAAAAAAAATTAATATAGAGAAAATACCAGCATGGCTTATTTTCAAAGTATATCATGACATAAACGTGTGGCCCAGACTCGTAGAAGGCCAGAAGGAGTCTAGGGCCATCTGGAGCCCCAGAAATCCCACACTTCTTACCACTCAAGACTTTTATCACTTTGCCCAATCCTCCCCCTCACTGCCATGTCTTGAAGTATCCTTTTCTACTAAGCGAACTACATTCATTAAGCAATGTATTATTAATTTCTTTCTCACATTTTATTAACCTAAGGCACTTTGTCAGGTAAATCTCCCTACAAACATCAAATTATCAACATTAACACAGTGACTTCATATCATCATAGCCCAGCATAAAGACATGTGACATTCAGATTGACCTATTTGGTCCTATCATGAAACAACTCATATGTTTTTTAAATATTAAAACTTTTCCTCACCAAACCCTTCAAAACCCTTGGGAATGTTAGTTGGAGAACCATTTATCATGTATTCTCCGGGGGTGCCTGGGTGGCTCAGTTAAGCGCCCGACTTTGGCTCAGGTCATGATCTCATGGCTCATGGGTTTGGGCCCCACATTGGTCTCTGTGCTGACAGCCAGCTAAGAGCCAGGAGCCTGTCTTTGGATTCTGTGTCTCCCTCTCTCTCTGACCCACCCCTGCTTTGTGTCTCTCAAAAATAAATAAAAAACATTAAAAAAATATATCATGTATTCTCCAGATGTGGAAACATGATCCAATGTGTGTGGCCCTCCTCCCTGAGGTAACTGGCCCTCAACTGTGGAGACAGGCAGGAGAGCTGAAAATCATTGGGGTTCTGGGGACACAAGTCAGAGGGCAGCTGTGAGGAGGACCAGGAGGCCTCATAGTCTGACCAGGGTGTCAGATATCCAAGAATCCAGAGCAAGTAGCTGGGAATAAATAAAGCTAGGGTACAGACAAGACTTGTGAGCATTTTTTAAATAAGATTGTCAGAGGGCACCTGGGTGGCTTACTCAGTTGAGTGTCTGACTCTTGCTTTTGGCTCAGGTCAGATCCCAGGATTGTGGGATCAAGTCCCAAGTCCTGCTTAGGACTCTGTCTCTCTCTCCCTCTCTCCCTCTCCCCTGCTTGCTTGTGCTCTCTCTCTCTCTCTAAAATAAAAAAAAAATAAATAAATTTAAAAAATAAGACTATAAAAAATAAGACTATCACAACAGTGATTCTCAAAGGGGGAAATAGCAGAATGAAAGGAGATGGGGAGAATATAGTTTGAAAAATCATATTTTTATTTTTGGAAAATATGTAATTATTTTCTTATAGAGCAAACTACCAAAAGGAAAGTTCTAGAAAATCTTGGTTAATGAGTATTTGTAGAAGAAATATTGATTCTCATACATCCTGGAAAAAAGAAGGCAGCTTTCTACGTGACTGTGAAAGAGGAAGTGGTTTGTTAAAACTGGAATTTGTAATTTGCTTTTATGAGCCAAATGAGGTAAGGCAGGAACAGCAGACACCCTGGGGAGGGCAGGGGCTATCAGAGGGGTATGTGGCCATCATTAGGATGTAAGTACCAGAGCCCTACTGTGGACTGAATGTTCATGTCCCCCCAAAATTCATAAGTTGAGGGGCACCTGGCTCAGTCAGTTAAGTGTTCAACTTCGGCTCAGGTAATGATCTTGCGGTTTGTGGTTTCAGACCCCACGTCGGGCTCTGTGCTGACAACTCAGAGCCTGGAGCCTGCTTCAGATTCTGTGTCTCCCTCTCTCTCTGCTCCTCTTTAAGTTTTAGCAAACTTTTAAAAATTCATATGTTGAAATACTAACCCTCAATGTGATGATATTAGAAGGTGGGGCCTTTGGGAGGTAATTAGGTCACCAGGGTGAAGCTCTTATGAGTGGGATTAGTTCCTCTATAAAAACGACCCCACAGAGCTCCCTTTACCCTTTTGCCTATATACAGACTCAACAAGAAAAGTGCCCTCTGCCACTGGAAGAGGGTCCTCACCAGAACCTGAGTATGCTGGCCCCCTAATCTTGGACTAACAGCCTCCACAACTGCGAAAAATACATTTCTGTTGTTTCTAAACTACTCAGTCTGTGGTACTTTGCTGCTGAAGCCCAAACTGATTAGGAAGAAACCTTGTCTGCTTGATCTAGCTGTATTTTCAGCACCTAAAATCAGTGCTTGGCACACAGAAGGGGCTTGGTTAATACTCATTGACTGAATGAATTAATGAACATCAAGGTCAGGATCAGAAATCAAGACTCCTTTTCCCTAGTCCATTCTGTCCTGAAATTACTCTTACAGAAGAAAATTTAATGGGTAGAAAAACTGTTCGCTCCCTCTCCTAACACCCATTTTCTTCTCTTCCTCCTTAAATTGTACAGCGTCTCTTGCAGCTACATTCTGGCAAGTGAGATGTAAAGGAAAGTGTTACACAGCACTTGTAGGAAGTCTTCATTAAATAAAGGAGGTGTACCTTCCACCTTCCTTCATCCTACTGCCTGAAATGCAGACATAATGGGCTGGAAGTCAAGCAGTCATATAGACCAGGGACTAAGGATGGCAAACAGAAATGTGCAAGAAACCTGGGTACCTGATGACTAGAGTGACCACAAGCCCTGTGAATCATCTGCCTTCAGACTTCTTTTAAATGAGAGAGAAATAAACTTCTGTATTTTATACACCAATGGTCTTTGGGATTTTTCTATTAAACACAGAGAAAGCTACCCCTAACTGACACTTGGGCACGCCTCCACACCCCTGGGGAACGTGGACACGAACTGCAAGCTGGCACTCCAGGAAGCTTCCAGTACTATGACGTGGCAACAACCCAGTGTTGGCTCTATTTGTTACCTGGACCCATCTCCCCAGTCACCGAGCCCTCTGGGCTCTGAATCAGGTCCCTGTAAGTCCTGGGACAGTGCTTACGGCAGAGATTTTCCACCAGCGTGTTGCTCCCTCTAACCACAGACCTTCCTTCATTGTTCATGTAGTTCCACAGATGCAGGGCATAGGAGTTATTGAAGCTCAGGTCTTTGTCCCAGACTTCATAGTAGCGCCTCCACTCTGGATAGGAGATGGGGTAAAATCGCTGGGGGTGTAGGAAGGACAGGTTCAAACACCGGAAATCACTCACCTCCTGGAAGTCTCTGAGTTTGCACCACAGTCTCAACATCCTCGTCATCAAACTGGGACCCTGGTTGCCCCAGATGGCTGAATTGTAGTGTTCAACAAAGTTTTCCATGCACCCCCACAGGAAGGGGTGGTGGGGGAGGAATCCAAACACCCCGTTACTAGAGTACTGAGAAGATTGTGCAGCCAGAAAGTTCTCCTCAGGGATGGGCCGGATGGAGATGACATCAGTGTCCATGTAGATGCCGCCATATTTCCAAATGATGGCCAGGCGGGACGCATCTGAACTGACGTGGAGCCAGTTGCTCTCCACACTGGCATTGATCTGCAGGAACATGTGCAAATCAGCCACAGCAACAGGGGAAATGGAAAGGTGTCACAACCAGAGTCCAGCCCGCAGTAGCTGAGCAGAAGGAAGCAAGCTGGCTTCTCAAAAATCTACTTACAAAAGCCTAATTTTGCAAATTGACCAAACTTACCTCCACTCAAAAGTTTGCCTTTCAGTGAAAAGTTTACAGCAACCTGTATCAGTGCGAAGACTTTAGCAGCTTTTAAAGAATTAATGAATTTGTTTTTTAATTAAAGCGATGGAATGGTAAAGAAGAAACCCTGAAGGGATTTCACAATAAACCATATGAGCCCTTATCAGCAGAGTGTACTTTAACCACAAATATGAAGCTGTGAAGAAAGAATTTTTTGAGTCCTAGAAATGCTAAAACTAATAAAGAAAAAATAAACTAGGAAACTATAGAGTAGATCAATATGTATGCTTTTTGAGAAATTGGTAAAAAGAATCTTAAAATGCATGCATACCTTCTTTCACTAATTATTTCCTTTAATAATATTCATTGAGGGCCTGCTTTCAATGTGCCAAGCTCTGTTATAACTCCTAGGGAGATAGCAGGGGACAGACAGACAAAAATCCCTACCTGGAAGAGATAGACAATAAACAAATCAATATATAATATGTCAGGTGTCATAGGGACTGTGAAGGGGAAAAAAGCTGGATAAGGAGGACATGAAGGGGGCAGGGTGGAGCACTATCTTACCTTGGGTTTCAGCAAGCTCAAGGGCCCTGAGGTAGGAACACCCTGGCTGTGTGCAGAAATAGAGAAGAGAGTGTGGCCAGTGCAGGGCAGTGAAGGAGAGGGGTAGGAGATGAGAGCAGAGAGGGATGGATGGAGAGGGAGGGTAGATCATGTAGGCTGGAGTTATTTGAAGACTGAAATTACTTGAGGGTTTGGAAGAAAGGAGTGGTGTGATCTGACTTTTCTGTGGAAAACAGACAGGGGCAAGCCTTGGGAGGTGGCAAGGGCAGAAGCACAGAGGCAAGTTAGGAAGGCTGCTGAAATGGTCAGATCCTAGGCACACGGTTCAGATGAAATGGGGCAGGGTGTGGATGGATTGGATGTGGGGGCAGGGAAAGGAGTCAAGGATGACTGCAAATGCTAACACAGGAGCAAAACAGAAAATGACTCTAAAAAGAATAGAAACTATTCATAATAAATGGCAATAAAAACTAATTGCTATAAATGGCAACATTCCCAAATGGAATGCTAAAATTTTGAATAGAGAAAATGAAATAGACTTTTCTGGATTGAAATATGTTGATTAAAAGATTGAACATAGGGACAACTGGAGAGCTCAACACGTGATCTCAGCTCAAGTCTTTATCTCAGGGTTGTGATTTCAAACCCTGCACTGTGCTCCACACTGGGCACAGAGCCTACTTAAATACATACATACATACATACATACATAAAATTTTATGTTTTTAAATTTTTTTTTGAGAGAGACAGAGAAAAAAATGTTAGTGGGGGAGGGGCAGAGAGAGAGGGGAACAGGGGATCCAAAGGGTGCTCCATGCTGACAGCAGTGAGCGTCATGCAGGACTTGAACCCATGAACCATCAGATCATGATGTGAGCTAGAGTCAGACACTGAACCAAATGAGGTGCCCAGGCACTCCAAGAAATAAATAAAAAGCAAAGAAAGATTGAACTTAAATAATTGGCATTTGACAAAATAAACATTCTTTTTTTTAAGTGTATTTATTTATTTAGAGAGTGGGGGGAGAGTGTGCATAGGCGAGGAGCATAGAGAGAGGGAGAGAGAGAGAATCCCAAACAGGCTCCACACTGTACCGTCAGGGCAGAGCCCAATGTGGGCACAAACCATGAGATCATAACCTTAGCCAAAACCAGGAGTCAGACACTTAAGTAACTGAGCCACTCTAGTGTCCCAACAAAGTAAACATTCTTTAAAACTTTGCTCTAGGGGGTGCCTGGTTGGCTCAGTTGGTTAAGCATACATGAGCTCATGGTTCATGAGTTGGAGCCCCACATCCAGCTCTGTGCTGACAGCTCAGAGCCTACAGCCTGCTTCAGATTCTGTGCTCCATTCTCTCACTATCCCTTCCCCAATCACACTTTGTCTCTCTCTTTCTTTAAAAAAATAAAAAAAAAAAACACTAAAAATTTTTTTAATTAAAAAAAAATCTCTGCTGTAAGGCCAAATGAAGGCAAGTCAATTAATGGTTTGCAGGAATCTTTACACAAGTTGTTAACGTCACAAGAATTGTATACAACTGCTGAAAACTTCATAAATAATAATAGCAAAATTTATCAAAAACTGTTCCAATCTCTTTATAATCTACACAAATGCTCAAAGACTGGTATTATGATTATTCCCATTTTTTCAAGTTAAAAGCTAAAAGAAACAAGAAGTTCAGTAATTTGTCCAAGGTGAGAGAGGCAGAGGCTGGGTTTGAACCCAGCCAGTCTGGCTCCAGAGATCTACTTATTCAAAAGAAATAAGGTTTTGGTAAAAATAAGTAAAAATGATCATTTGGTAATTTGGTGATTGCTAGTGAACAGGCCCAGAGACATAGGATATCAAAAGCCACACAAAACCAGAGGAGGAAGGAGCCTGCCTTTCTGTGGGCATTGGACTAACATCAACCTAAAACACAAAAGCTCCCACAGGGGTGAGCTCTAGGAAGTGGGTTAGGGTTCTGGCTGCCCATCCCCTTCCACCCCCACAGTACTCAACCCCAGGCATCTTCAAAGGCTACAGTTGCCAAATCAGTGCAGCAAATCCAGTAGACACCAGCAAGTGATGGCACATTGAGCCATCCCCAGTGGGGTAGAACATGCTACAGAACATTACCCCAAAGGCATCATGGTGTGATCATTGCAAATGCATAGTCTGGTGCAGTACCCTGCAGGCTCAGATGGGGCTGACACTTAAGGGCTCTGTGTCCCCCCACCCACCTTGTTCCTAAAATTCAACCTGGTAAAACTGAGGTACAGCTCAGAAGACCCCACTGTGCTCTATGAAACATCAGCTCCAAGAAAATATTTATGCCCTATCAAAAGAGGCATTCATGCTCAAATACGTTTGGAAAATTCTGGGTTGAATCAAATTAACATTTCTTTGGTTCAGAACTACAGAGCCTTTAATCTGTTCATGTACATGATTAGACTGTGAGGGGAAAATTTTTTTAAAGGATAGAATGCAGCATCTTCCAAAACAATTTGAGCAGAGATTTATTTGTGTGAGGAGCAAAACACAGTTTAGGTAATGTAGGTCCGGCTTAGCTGTGGGGAAAGTAGGCAAACACATTGCCGTTCTTGTTTAGGCCTCCTGGAATACCTTCTAGAAGGCTAGCCCTGAGAGCAACAGGGACCTAGCCAGTGTGTCCCCTCCAGGGACCCTCTTTGCTGCCAGAGCCTGCCTTCCCAGCCTGGGGCGTCCCCTGCTGCTTCCCAGTGGCCTGCTCTGGTCGCCACTGATTTGTTGGGACCCCTGTGCCAGCAGCTGCCGGTGAAATCTCAGTCTGAGGAGCTGCTCCATCGCCTCCAGATAAGTCTCTATTTGAGACCTCCAGGCTCTTCAGGAGAAGAGATGGGCACTCTGGTTATGGAAGTCATCTGGTGCCAAAAGTAAAACTGGCCAATAGCCTCACACGTCTGTTGCTTAGTCTAGAAAATGTCTCCAGCTAATAGTAAGTAGGCTCAAATGTGTCCTCACCCAGGGAAGCACACTCAGTCCCCAGGTGAATGAGGCAGGGCATGATAGGAGTTTTCTTTTTTGTATATATAATACTGTCGTAGACTGAATAATGGCCACTCAAAGACATCAGGTCCTAAATCCCAGAACCTGCAAATGTTACCTCATCTGAGAAGTACCTTTGCAGACGTGATTACAGGAAGGATCTTGAGATGGAGAGATTATCCTGGGTTGTCCTGCTATGAGACCTAAATAGTTTCACAAGTATCCTTTAAAAACAGATGTAGAGGGAAAGGTCCTACACACAGAGGGAAAGGACATGTGCAGATCTCCACTGGAAGGATTTTTTCGGAGAGCTTCCCTGGGAACTGTGGCCCTGCCAGCACCTTGATATCCACTCAGTGAAATGAATTTGGCACTTCTGGCCTCCAGCACCAAAAGGGAACAAATGTCCGTTGGTTTAGGTCACCAAGTTTGCGGCCATTTGTTACCGCAGCCATAGGAAACTAACACAGGTACTGCCATAATGGCCTCAATATTGCCTTTTGTCCTGAAAAGCCTTAAGTGTTTATTTACCATCTGGCCCCTTGACAAAGTATTTACCATCTGACGTTTGGTCTAGCCCACAATTAGAACTTAGAAAGGACTTTATATGACAAGCAAATGGTAGTATTTTGATGCTGATTTTTAAATTACTTTTTTGTTTTTAAAATAATTTTATTTGTAAAATTAACATATTCTCATCACTAAATGCACTCCCCATCCAATCACACTAAAACACCTATGATTACTTTGTGTTGTGTATTTTCTTCAGGCTTTTTTCTTCAATGTGGTTGGGGGGAGGTGGTACATAGGTAAAATAATTACAATTACATTCTAATGGAAGTGTACTTATTCTATATTGAGTTGTAGTCTTCATAAGATGTCACAGCTAAACCTGCATAGTAGAATCATTGAGTGGTTGTACTATAATTTCCTTAAGCATTATCTGATTGTGGGTCCTCTGTGAGAGAAATGTTTAATTGAAATGTTATTGCCTTATTATACTATGTTACTAAGATGAAGATTACAAAATTCTCAAGAGCTCCAGGAGTTTCTTGGTCATATCTCAATATAACCCAATCTCATATAGCAGCACTCCACTTGATTCTTCACGAATTTTCTATTCACATCATTTTCAAATTAAATATCACCTTGTTTCCCACTCAGATGCAAAAAAAAGTTTAACATAGGTGGGTTTAAATAAGTGAAAAATAAGTGATTATACATAATCCCATAAAAGTTATCAAAACTCATTTCATTCAGAATAGTCTCAAAAGAAGCCTAGTTCCTAAGAAGTAAGTCTGGAAGCAAAGGACACCAGGCTAGAGATAAACCTAACTGAAGTCTCTCCTGTTTATTTGAATCAGGATTCAACACTGTAGAAAGAAGACCAGGATCTGGGTTCTAGTCCCATCTCTGACACTGAGTCTTTGTGCTCAGTTTATCTATCCATAAGATGAGGGTGTTGGGATGAGTACTGGGTGTTGTATGGAAACCAATTTGACAATAAATCATATTTTTTTTAAGAGATGAGGAGATTGGGCTCATTTTCTGTGGTACCTCCCAATGCTGACATTCTAAGATTCTCTGAATACTTACGTGAGTGTACCATGAAAGCAACGGTGTGTCTTCAAACAGCCTTTTCATATCCAAAGGGAAGAGGAAAACATTGTCCATGGCTGAGAGGAGGGAAAAGGCTGGGTAAGTGGAGTTTGAGGGCAGCCTTGAGGTGTTGTTGAGACCCTTCATGAAGAACGCCACAGGCTTCTCAGGGTAAATTTTGGCAGCAGATTCCACGGCACAAGAGACCAGAGGCGTTGGCTCCATTCTCTCTGAGGTCTCAATGAACACAATGCCACGCCCATGGCCCAGGATGGTTTCCGGGTCCTGCTGGAACTTTGGGGGAGGAAGGCAAGAGAAGAGGCAGCTGGACTTCAGGCTGAGCTGGTAGAAGAAGACACAGGCAAGCAGCAGGACAGCCGACAGGAAGAACTGGAGCTGCTTCAGCATGTCTACTCCTCTCTCCCGTCCTGCTCCTTTAAATCAACACAGCTAATTACAAAAATACATTCCCCAAGCCTGATCAAGAGCACACACAAGAAAATGATGCATGGATATCACTTCTAAGGTTTAATTGTTTAAATCCTCAATGAAATATGATCAAATCAGGTACAATAATATTAACAAGAAAAATGCAGCCACTAGGGTTTATTGGAGGAATTTGAGGACAATTTGAAACAGTAAAATAATTATTCATCCTTTTGAGTGGCCCATAGAACAACAGGCATGAAGAACATCTCTATATATGAGCTCTTGTAGAAATTTCTCTGGGGGCACCTGGGTGGCTCAGTCAATTAAGCATCTGACTTCAGCTCAGGTCATGATCTCACGGCTCATGGGCTCAAGCCCTGTGTGGGACTCTGTGCTTACAGTTTGGAGCCTGGAGCCTACTTCAGATTCTGTCTCTGTTTCTCTCTGCCACTCTATCTCTGTCTCTCTCTCAAATATAAATAAACAATACAAATTTTATTAGAAAGAAAGGAAGGAAGGAAGGAAGGAAGGAAGGAAGGAAGGAAGGAAGGAAGGAGGGAAGGAAGGGAAGGAAGGGAAGGAAGGAAGGAAGAAATTTCTCTGAAGTTTACCTCAAGTTGTCTAGCTTCAGTTTGCAGGGCTTCAGGAAAAGAGGCAGTTTTAGTTCTCAGTGATTCCAAGTCAAGAGAATGGGAGAAAATTGGAAAACTTCATTTGGAGAGTCATAGCCAGGCATTTGAGGAAACCAGAAGAATTCAGGATCCAGCCTGGTTTTATAGGCAAACATTCAAAGACAATTAATCAGAACTAGAATCTAACATCTACAAAAGGTGTGTTGTTGAAACTTAATTTTTCCTCCCTAAAAGCACCCTCATTTCTGTGGAAGATATCCAAATTAAAACTAATTCATTTGTAAAATAAGTCAATTTTTTAACATATTTGTCCTACTTATTTACATAGACAAAGCAAGAATACTTATTGACCATATAGGTTTTTAAAAATCTGCTTTGCTCGAAATGTTTATAAGGCATTTCACATTGAACTTTTAATAGCCTCCCAAGGTCAGAAGCCCAGACAAATACTTGCCATCAGACTCACCTGCAACACCTGTAGATGTGGGTGAATTTCTCTTTTCCTGAGGTCCCCAAAATATCCTGAAGTTTCTGCACCTGCCAGGAAGTGATATTCTTTGCTCACCTGGTAAGACTCCTGAAAACTCTATAAGTAAGGTATCAGGCCAACAATTCCAAGGGGTTTTATTGGCTGCATAAAGTCAATCTTAGTTCTTTAAACCTGTCTGGTCATACCTGAGTCTATGCAGGTGTCTCTCAAATATGACATTCCAGTTAAAGCCTTGGTAATGTAGCCAATGCTTTCAATGGTGTCCTGTTACAAGGAGAACAGATTCTCATTGGATTTATGTAAATGACGATAATTGCCATGAGAGAAAGAATACTCATGTAGAGTTTCTAAATTCTGGAGGGTTCAGATAGGGAGAAAAGACAAATGTTTCTATTTGCTTACAAAGGAATATTTTATCACATTTCTATTAAGCCATAGATATCTTAAGAGAAAAGGTTTTCTTAAATCTGGAAGAGCAAACATTAGAGAACCAGCAATGTTTTAAACAAGAGTCATAAAATCTACAATCATCTTTTCAATGCACTTAGTCTCACATTATTAATCCTTGTTCTGTTTGAATGTAGTTTTTCCATTAGTTCTGGAAATTCTTACCCAGTTTAGTTTTACAGTCTTAAAGATATCAGAATCCTTCGCTCATCAAAAGTCCTTTTCGTGAATCTCCTTGAAGCTAAAACATATTTTCAAGAACAGGGTGCTAACTGCAATGATAAGACTCAAAACATGGCCAGGGTTAAAAGACTGACAGGAGTTCCCTAAAATGCAGCTGACAAGGATATGTGGTTATTTTTGTGACATGCAACATTTCAATCAGTAGAATTTCAAATAATGACATTATACCAGGACGTATTAAATCTTTAGGAATTTTATATAATTTTTGCTACAGCATTTACCCACACGATATAACCTAAGAAGGTTTATCATCATTTGTTTGACAATTCTTCTCATGTAAGTTAACAAACCAAATAAGCCTAATTAGTCAAAAAGACTTCATGTAGAATTTGAATTTGGGGGGAAGTTTGTTAAAAATCTCGGATGGTTCTAAAGCACATTCCTAAATAGGATTAGAGATTATTAGAAAACTTAAACCTTAATTAATCTGTTTGACAAAGGTGGCTGTAAGAGATTCTAAAAGCAAATACAGAAGATTACATGGTTATTAGCAAAATTTAGCTCTTTTAATATTGAAAAGCTTTAACTTCCTTAATCAAAAAAACTAATGAAGACAAAACATAGAACTTTGTTTTTCTGGGCAGATAAAGAAAAAAAAACTTTGTTAATAATTTCTTATCAAGAGCAGGCCAACAATCCAAGAAAACTTAGTCTTTTTAACAGAAAGACCAAATTCCAAACTTGTACAAGTATGTGTTTATGTATTTATTTATGCTAGTGTACTTTAAAAAAATCTTTTTAATGTTTATTTATTTTTTGAGATACAGAGCATGAGCCAAGGAGGAGCAGACAGAGAGGGAGACCCAGAATCCAAAGCAGGCTCCAGGCTCTGAGCTGTCAGCACAGAGCCCAATGTGGGGCTCAAACTCATGAACTGTGAGCTCATGACCTGAGCTGAAGTCAGACACTTAACGGACTGAGCCAGGCGCCCCAATGCTAGTGTACTTTTAAAATTCATTCATTCCAATCTTAGTCAGTCCTGACCACGTACAAAATTATTTTCCGAAGATTCTCCTCAAACCTTTTATAATTTTCTTTTTTTTCATTTTGATTTGTCCTAAGTTTTCCTTCTCTAAACAACCAGACTCATTTCAGAGAGTCTGAATTACTTTTCTTCCTCTACAAAAATGTATCCTCATTTCTAATGCCTTTCTTAAAAGTCTCCCATTTCCCTACGTTCAGAGTTGCTTTCATATCATTGTCAAGTCTCCATCACATTTATCAGAATTTTAATTCTTAAAACCCTTAGCCCCCAGTGAAAACTAAGTCTCTTAGTCCTCTTTTATAAAACAAATCTAATCACAAAATGGCATTAATTAGTCATTTTCCATTTTCTAATTAGAACACAGTCAGTTTTATCCAAAGATACCCAAAACAGCAGCAATAAGTAAACCGAATGAAGCCCAGAGTACCTCTCTGAACACTGGTCTCTCTCAAACGTTGGGTGCTTCACTGATTGAATCAAATGGCTTTCTAACTTCTGGTTGTTTAGTCTTCTAACTGGCTTTCTCTAACTGTGTGCCCAATTAATTGAAACATGTCAAAGAATCCCATTTGGGCCTTCTGAGACTCAGGTTATCCTTAGTTAAAATTTCCCATACTTTAAGTAAGCACCTGCCAGTAGAGGTTCCATGCATGTTGTACATACAGCCTGCTGGAGTTTCATCAGACACTTCTGCTAGGCTTGCAGTCACCTGAAAGCACCCTTTGGCCCGAAGGAGAAAGTGTCCCTTCTCTTGGGAGCTGAGTGAATCAGTCTCTCATATTTCTAGCCAGAAAATTTACTCAAACCTTATATTAATAACATCAGTTAGTATAATGCCAAATTAAAACACCAACCCCTCTACTCTGACCCCTCTAGGTTACTCCTGCCTAGAGAACATTAGTTCAATATCTCAGATAAGCTGCGCAGATAAAATTCAGGCCCATCAACTTCAGGTGTGGAGGTCCGGACTTCATAACTCACCCAATACACCTGTGAGGTGCTGAGAATTTGGAGAGGTCTGTGCTGGTACAGGGCCAAGTTCCAGGAGACCTCCAGGCAACCACGAGAGTTGCTCTGATATCCTGCTGACTATGCCAAAAAATATTGACGCAAATTGAACAAACCTTTTAGAAATTCTAGAAGAAGAGAAAGAGTTTTATGTGAGCCCAAATTAGGACAGCTGCCCAGGACACACAATCTTCACAAAGATAGGGCTCTGGCGCAGGCACAGTTGGGATAGGATCATTAAAAAGCTACAAATCATTAGACTCTACTATATGCAGGACTTTATGACTTTAATCTTATGGGAACCAGGGAGGGGCTTTTTCTTTTTCTTATCTTTATGTTTGGAATGCTCCTTTTTGATTATTTTTTAAACAAATCAGACGTACAATGTGTGCTCAGGGCAGAAATGAAGCCCATATGCTGAGGTTTTGCCAAGTCATTTTGACCTTGGTAAATGTCAAATATAAAATATATAAGTATTTATATAAAAGTATTTATATAAAAGTATAGCTTCCCTGGGAGCCTTGGGAGCAGGGCCTACAAACATCAAAAGTTGAAAATTTCCTTTATCACCTTCCATCCAGGAACTTGCAATTAGCCAATACCTGAGGTCTTAGCAATGACAACAAGTTTTTCCTGCTAGGCTCTCTGATAAATCACCACCTCCCCATCCAATTCAACAACTAGGGGAAGTAAATCATTGGTGAAAGACCAACACCAAACACAAGAAGTTCTGGAAGCTCATCCCTTTACTAAGTTCCTCCAAATACAGAGAGTTGGGGAACATAAGGAGTTTTTGCAGTCTACCAGGTGCCCCACACACTAATCCTGCCTGTTTGTGGATCTATCAGGAGGGTTATAAGGCAACCATTTCACCTGGAAGAAATATACAGTGTAACCCTGGAACCAGCCAATCCTGCACCTGGGCAGGCCGTTTCAACTGAAATCATGGGCAGAGACTTTGGAAGCTTTCTTCACCAGACAAGCCTATAAGCTGATTCTAACTTGGCAAACACAAGGTTTGATTAAAAGAAAAGGAAAGCCATCACCACAAATAAGCAATGGACAAACCCCAGGAGTCTAAGGACCTGGAGATCTGGAATAGGAATTGATTCCCCAGTTTCAGTTAAGTCAGTTCGGGAAGAATGTTTTTGCCCTGCAGTTCCCTTATGGTGTG